TGGAATTTTCTGTTCTTATTTTGAAAATGCGAGTAACTTTGGTGTGCCATTTACTATACAGTACTTTTCCGTTCCACTTTAATAGGTTTACTTTTCTTTTTCATCCATATCAAATTATAGTTCATTTTTCAACTGAAGAATATAACTAATTTGTACCTCTATAAAATATAGTTATTTAATGTATTCTATTATTAGTGACTATAACCTACCTTATTCATTAATTGCTTGGATTAATGACTTCAATGTAGCAACCTTTTATAGTATTATTGTTGTTATTAACATAAATGTATATCGATTAGTTATACTTCTAATATTAATATAAGGGTATTTTAGGAAAATAGTATGTTAGATTTATACTTCCAACAGAGTTATCTAATTTTTCTTAAACTGTGTGAAAAAAAATCAAAACTATCAAAGTGGGATGGAGGAAATAATTTCTTTAACCCGATACTAATCTTTCTTCTTCTTCTTTTTCATTGAAAAATATGATACTAATCACTATGTGTATTAATTTAGTAAAACGCAAGTAATTTAGAAAATTTACGTATAAAGAGAACAAAGAAAAAAACAAGGAGTAAAGGGAAGAAATAATACTCTAGTGAGAATGAGAATTTAACTAGCATTTTAATCTTTAAATCTGTACTTTAGTCTCTTTGCTCCTAGACCACCACAATATAATTTACCATTGCTCCACTTCCATGGTGTAGCTAGAAAACTTCCATATAACCACATGTGGTGCTTTATGACGCCAAGGGGGAAAAATTGTTTAAAAAATTCACTCATTAAATAGGGCCCAAGAGCTATTTTATTTTTAAAATTTGCAGAAGTGAATAATTTAAATCAAAAACTTTTTGTAGAAAGGTGAAATTAGTGTTAGTTTTATTATAGAAATGGGAAAATGTGTTTTAGCCAGTTTGTTTATCTAGAAAAGGAAAGGAGATAATAGTGACCTTAAAAATTACTTCACACTTTGTGCGTATTTGTGTTTCTTTCAGTGTTAGTTCTGCTATAGAAATGAAAAAAAAAAACGTGTTTTAAATAGTTCAGTTATCCAGAAAAAAAAAAGAGAAACTAATGACCTTAAAAATTACTTTATGCTTTGTGTGCATTTGTGTTTCTTTTTGAGTGAATGCAATGAAATTTGGTAGCTTTATTAGGTGAGGTTAGTAGACATTAGACAACCTCCAATAGTCAATACGCGGACATATGCCTCGACATTTAGGGATGCATACGAGTCTAATCAAACCGAACATTTTAATGTTCAAACTTGTTTGATTATTTTAACAAATTTAAAATTTTGTTCAATTTTAATTTGTTTAATTGTTAAATCGAGTTTGAACAAATTTTTTTATTAAATTTGAAAGTTATCGAATGCAAAAAACTATCTAAACTAGACTTGATAGCGAACCAAGTTCGAACAAACTCTTATCAAGTTAAATTCAGTTCATGTATTAAATAGTTTAATTCATTTTTCAACCGTCCGACATACTTTAGGATTTCATCATCTACGAACCAACCAAAGAAATGAGGTAGATGGTTAACAAGAAACTACCCACTAAAGCCAAAAATGCAGGTGTAAGTCTTGAGTGGCAATGATTGCCCTTTTGATTGCAAATTTGCAACTGCAGACGCTTCTGGTGAACCTGGCCTACTGGCTGGATATCTCCCATCCACTAGAAGAAATGTATGGAGAAACCTTCACTCGTGTCCTTGAGCACCGAAGGAAGAAAGAAGAGGCCAAAAACAAGTCACAGCACAGGCATAAAATATCTAAGAAACTTTTTCATGAGATATATTGTGGACATAATTACGAGAGCTTTGGTTCTGTAAAGAGAAGGGGAGGAGAACCATAGAAGCAAAAAATGAGGAAATGGTGAAGACGCAATAAGAAAACCCTATAACAAGAGATTACTTTTGTTACACGGCTATTAATTTGATCCTCAAATCATTGATGCTTCGCCACAATTTACTTACAACACTTGCATTCGTAAGCTTTTGTAACAACTCGTAAAGCCACTCTAAAAGTAAAAAAATTCTAAGATTGAAAGAGACAGACTACTTTTCGAATAAAATTTATATCATTTTTTCTTTATGAAAAATCAAGTCTATTTCGAATCAAGCATGTATCATTGGCATTCTTGTGCCGAATCAAGCTTTCAAATATCATATCATCTTCTTTTTCTTGGTTTTAAATTACGATTAGCCCTCATCACGTTTTAATGGTAACTATCATCGGGAGGCACTTGTCTATTTCTAGATTTATAGAGGACAATATAATAGTAGCATCTTTTTAGGGACTGAAAACCCTTTTTTTTTTTTTTAAAAAAAAAAATAGCCTTCTACTTCTCTTAAAAGGTCAAGTAAATATAAGTGTCCTTATGGCAACACTATGGAGTGCAAACTATAGATATTATATTGAAGCATTATTTTAAAGAACCCCACTGCTTTTATCAAGAAAAGTTTACAAAATTTCGGAAATAATTATTTAAGCAGACTCTTTGGTGGGTAGACTGAAAAGGAACTGATCCTGTTATATGTTTAGATTAATATCTCTAGCGTAACGACCACTTAAGACATCACTACTTTGAATTGCTTACTATGGAATGAATGCAGTCTCCCTTTTTTTTTTTTTTTTTTTCTCTTTGTAAAATTGTTAGTCTTAAAAAAATCATGATATTTTTGGTAAAATTCATTAAAATATGGGGCAACTTGGTGCATGAAATGCCACTTCTCACCACATTTGCGTAGCATAAATTAAATTGCATGGGCTAAGAGATGGGTTCATTGCTTGGTTTTGGATTTTAAAATCTCATTAGGCATCACTCCCATAACAGGACAGGCGGGTGGAGGAGGTGGTTTAATTCACAACGATCAAGGTCTCTCTGGGTTTTAAGGTTTTATATAGTGAATATGAATATGGGGTATGCCTCTAGCTAGTCTCGTTGCATGGGATCTAGGATTTTAGATGTTGAATCTGACTCCAAACTTAGCATCAATCTTGATCATGTTCATTTTAGTCTCATTTGCAGGATAAGAGAGTTGCTAAGCCGATAATGCGCAGGGTTGAAAAATGAACTAAATTACTCGATACTCGAATAGAATTTGAATTAATAAGAGGCTGTTCAAACTTAATTCACCATCTAATCAAATCAAATGTAAACAGCGTGTTATGTTTGATAACATTCAAATTCAATAAGAAAAAAAACTTGCTCAAATTCAATTCGATAAATAAACAAATCAAAGTTAAAAAAAAATCAAATTTATTAAAATAATCGAACGAACTTAAACGCTAAAGCTCAATTCTCTGTGGCACTATAGCTTCCCAAATCAGCTCAATGAAAAGCCTTGAATTGGTTTTGGACATTTTTCGTAAAAACGTACTGCTACAAAGAGCTTTGGGCTGAGGTTTCTCATGAGAGCTAACTGGTTTTGATTGTAGTTTACTAGACAACTGGACAGAAAATGAAACGGGCCGAAATGGTTGTTGGCCCCAACTGAATGGAACGATCTGCAGTCAGCTACGGTCCAATTAGCACAATTAAATCTTTTCTTTTTCCCCAAAATTAAAATGAAGGGCTCAAATGGAATGGAAAGTGGAAAGAGGAATTGTTGCGACTGTGGCAGATGATTCAGTGTCTAAACTCTAAAATGTGCCAACAAGGCACAAGCTAAATTTAGAGAGGATTGTGGTGTCCTGCTTTGAAATAGAAATGGCATGATTTGATCCGAGTTATTTATGACTAATTGTAGGTTTTGACTTTCAAAATAGCATGAACAGCTCGAATCAGTTGTAAAAAAATGTGGCTTAATCTCAGCCAGTTATCATCAAACATCGGACACTACGTAGCCGTGATTCAAGAACAAGCGAGCAACATATAGTACTACTCACTCAAACATTTTGTGTTAATACAAGTTGGTTCAATTGATTAGGACGGATCATTTTTCTCACAAAAAAGTTGTATATTTGAATTGTACTATTGATGTGAGATACAAAACTTTTCACTGTCTATGTGAGAGATTTATTGGTGAACGAACCTCCTACTACCGTTGTGAGGGTTATATTAGTGGATGATCTATGAAATCCTTTACTATTGATGTGAGAGTTGTATTGGTAGATTTGTGATGATCATCGGAGCCGTACCCACTCAGTCATCTTTTTATTTTTCTTAACAAAAAAGAACAAGTAAATTTTATATATACTATCAGTGTATACACTATCACGATTGGATTGATGACACATAAGTAAATTTTAGATTTTAGATTTAAATTTTATACATATGACATATATTTAATGGTGATAATATATACACTTACAGTATATATAAGATTAATAATAATAAAAAAAACTCAAACATTTGGTTAACGATGTTTTTGGCCTGTGGACCTGTGGCATAAGTAGGGCTGCAAACGAGTTGAGCCGAATCGAGTTTTGAGCTAATCGAGCTGAGGCTCGACTAAATTTTATCAAGCTCGAGCTCGACGAGCCGGCAATTTTCAAGCTCGAGCTCGACTCGAATCAAGTCGAGCTCGAAAAAAATAAAAAATAATTATTTTATTTTTTAAAAAATAAATAAAATAATATTTTTTTCTTAATAAATAATAAAATATTAAGGATATATACGTAATTTTACTGTGAAAATAAAAAATAAAAAAAATATATATAATATACGTAATTTTATTATTAAATAAAAAAAAATATATATATATATATACTCAAACTCGCCAGCCGGCTCGCGAGTTAACGAGTTTAATATTCTGAACTCGAGTTCGACTCGAGCCGGCTCGAGCTCGACTCAAGCTTGACTCGAGCGGCTCGATTCGTTTGTAGTCCTAGGCACAAGGCAACAAGATCCAAAAAAAAAAAACTGTACCTAGTACATGCAGGAAACCAGATCCGAAATAAAAGTGTACCTAGTACCTACAGCAAATAAAAGGGTCCGGAGCTTGAACGGCCAAGATCGATTTCACCAATCTCCATAAACCCCAGACAGACCCCTTCATTATCTTATCCTTCTACCCACAATCTCCCTCCACCACTCCTGTAAAACCCCGCCAGGTTGAGCAACCAAACCTCCAAAACCCCTCAATCTACATTGCTCAACTTCCTCATCCTCCAATCTTCACCATCAATGAATCCTTGTTCTCTGCTAATAACTCACAAACCCCACTTTTCAGTCCCTTTAAAATCTTCCCTTTATAGAAAAACCATCACCATTTCCGCAGTGAACCATGCCTATTACTTTACTTCCAGTCCCTCTTTCCATTCTTTCACTACTTTCCTTCAGCGCCATAAAAATCCAGTCTTGAAGGTTATTTCTATAACAAAACTACTTGAATTGGCCCCTCTCTATAATTGCACTACATGGTGGAATTTATTTTTCATTTTTTTGTTCCTTATTCTTAATGCTGATGCAGGTGGAGGTTGCTAGGTGTTCGCAAGAAGATGCAGTTTTGGACCCTAAAGATGCTGCATTGCTGGTTTCTACTTGCATTACAAGGAATTTGGCTCCGGCATTGACGCTAGAGCAAGGTTTGGATTGTATTCAAGAGGCAGTTGAGAAGTTGAAGGCCAATCCTCCGTCTTGTCCAATTGGAATGGTTAGATTTCAGGTGTGTTTCTGATGACCCGCATTTGAATGTTAATATCTTCTTTTTGAATTCATAACGTGCAATAAAGTTTGACGTAATGAAGCATTATCAAAAAGCTTGTGATGCAATGCACACTCGTTATTTTCGAAATTCTCCATATATGGTGCTTGTAGGTGAATATTTTTCTCTTAATTTAGGAGGAATTGAACATTGTAATAGGTAATTTTCTTTATCCTTCTCACTGTATCATAGGAAAACGGGGATATTTGAAAAGTGATGCCTTGAAACAATGAATTTTAGTTCCATCATGATGCTAACTCATTGGCTGAATATTCAAGATTTTGCTGATTTCCTCTGTTGCTACTGCAATGTTTTGAATATTTACATAAAGTAATGCATGGTAATGTGTGCTCAGTTTGTAAGATGAAGTGTATTTATATAGTTATCGAACTGAACTTTATCCATGAGAATGCTGAATCAATAGGTTGCAGTGCCTCCAAGTCCAAAAGCTTTAAAATGGTTTTGCAGTCAACCTCAGTCAGGAGGGGTGTTTCCTCGATTTTTTCTTTCCAAGGAGGAGAATCCATCATACATGTCACTTGCTTTGGGTAGGACGTGTGGTGTTTTTGGAATTGGTGCCGCAGTCTATTTCAAGGGTCACTATTCTCATCCGTCTAGAGAGCATAGCGAGTTTCAAAGGTAATTTTGGATTTTCTTCTTTTTTGTGTGAAACTACGGTTGACTGATGTGATCAAGTATTATATTTGTTTTGGTTTTCTTCTTTTTGTAGATTTTCTAGTATCCATATTTGTTATTTCTGAGCCTTAGATTTCTTGCTCAAGAGTTAAAAAAAGCACCTGAGTCCCATCAACAAATTGTTGGACATGTAAAACTTACATTTGGCTGTCGTGATTCACTCAAAATTGCTATTGAATTGTAACACGAGGATGAGCAAGCTTAGTGAGTATGGATTTTTTTTTTCAATAAAAGCTTGGAGAAGTACATTTCTTTATTGAATTGAAAACTTTTTAATTATTTCTTTGGCAACCTGTAGATCTAAGTTGGGAAATGTTTTTATCTGTCTGAGAAATTTGAGCATAGCTGTTCCCGACGTATAGTCCGCTTGATGTTTTTATGGACCGTTTAAGAATAAATAAAACGTTTTTAAGATACTTGATGCATAAATTTTGTTAGCAGTTGTTCATTCAAAACTATCTTTGCTTCTTCACAATAAGAACGAAAGCATAGTTCGTCATGGAAACTAATGAAGTTAAAATATGGTCTTTAGCTAAAAATTTTGTTTAACTTCCTATTCATGAGGTGTGCTAAATGACTTCTATGGTGTTCCAGATCATATCCTGCTATGGAATTGGATATTCCAATGGCTTATGGTTTTTTGGATGTCAGTTTTGATGTAATTTCATCTTCTATGAAGTATGAAGCTGGTTCTTTTTACTTTTTCATTCCCCAGGTAAAGTTGTAATTTGTCTTTTGCAAATATGTCTAAAGCTGATGGTTTCTCCCTGGAATTGCACTTGCTAATCATGCTTTGATTCTTGTCTATGCTTTTTCAACAGATTGAGTTGCATGAATCAGAGGAGGTTACTGTCTTGGTTGCTAATCTTGCATGGAATGACTCTTCCACTTCTTTTTTTGCGAAAGCTATTCAGACCTATGAGATTGCTCTCTACCAGGTATTCTAAGGTTGTTCTCTTCACCTGCCAATTCTCTTTGCTCCGATTCAAGTTTCTCTTAGATCAATTTCAATATACGCCATTAATTGTTTCTTGTGTAGATTTTGAGTATAATTTAGATACCCTGAATGACGCAATAAGTAGAAAGCTACCTGGAAAGACTGATGCACCTTTCAAATGGTGAAGTGCACTTGCCTCCCTGTTTATCTTGCAGGATAGGAAATCTATCTGACTATGGTCTGACATGCTCTTTACTGATTCGGTTGTTAAACAACCGTGACATTTTCCTTGAAGCAAACTGCCACTTTAGCTAATGTCATGAGAAGTTTATGCTGTTAAATAGTAACTGCTTAAACAAAAAAGCAGTTAAATGACGGTTTTACCTTTCTAATTCCTAGAAGTTCATGCACTAAATAAGCATTTGCTTTTCAAACTAGAAGACGAGAAAGAAGCATTTTTTGCATTTTGTTTAGCCCGGGTGTTCATTTTTATTTGCTCTCATTCAGGCCAGATGTCATCTTTGGTCATTGATGGATGAATGCAGTAAGAAATGCATCAATGCCCTTCAAGTGTATGGGACCATGAAGGATAAAATTGCTGAGATGGTAAGATCTGAATCTGTGAAATCTCATACTGATGAAAACTTTATGCCATCAACTATAATTGTCTTATTACTTCTCTTATCTCCATTTGCATTGGCTCTTTCCTGCCATATGAATACAGTTTTGACTTTTTATTTGGGTTTCCTGCACTTTTTTGCATGGTTGACTTCTCTTATAGCTTTTTTATTAAGTTTTTTAATGTTCTCTCAGAGTTTTGGTTTTAACCTTCATATATTGGTCTCTGTGGTTTTTCCATTTCAAGTTTCTGCATTGGCAGGAGCTGATTAAAAAATGCTTGTTATATTTTCTGCTTAAATCAAATATTGAATGTTGGCATACTTATATTGTGGAAATCTATAACCTTTAGGTGTGCATGAGTGCTTTCCAGATAGGAGGAAGTCTTCTGGATGCTGGCACTCTGGAACTGGTATCCTCTTTATCCTGGTAATTTTCTTCCTCAGATAATTTAACTCTATATCCTCACTTGATGGTAATATGCTTCCACTCCTGGTTCAGATTTATTGTACTACTTTTGCTTGACTGGAGGAAACATAAAGCTGCCTGTTTTCATTCTTACAGAAAGATGCTCCACGATGTTCCAGCCAGTTTTCAGCCATGCTTTCGCCTTTGTCGGCTATTTCTAATAATATGGTTAGTAGTCGGTGTTACTGAAATTTTAAGCATATAGTTGCATTTTCTATTAGCAGAACAGCTGGACACCAACGAAATTTAGTTGGTCCACGAGGGGACATATAAGTTTGAGGATAAGGTACTCAATTTTTTTTGACTTCTGAGTTGAATCAGAGCAAATCCTGCTATATTAAACAATACAATATCTTGCTTGATCGAATCTTTGCTTCAATTTGAGCAGTAAAACATTGAGTTGGCAACATTTACTTGTGAGTTTGATCACATAGATCGAAGCATATCTAAGTCCAAAAGTAAGATCACTAGTGGTGTTCACCTTTTTGTACCTCTCCATTGACATGATTGGTTGACTTCTTAAAACTGAATGGAAATCTTGCTTTTCTTGTGTTCATCTTTGCTGCCTGTAAAGGATTTCTCTTGATATATAGTCTGTATAATTTTTTCTGATGCCTGTCTCTTTTGTTTGGAAAATCAGTAGTATAGGATGCTAAATGACTCTTCTACTAACTACTAATTGTTTTTGACGTGCTTTGCAGTACCACAGTGATTACTTCGATAAAACGGGGTACTCTACACCAGATTGTCCAAACATCAATTCCTTGTGGGCTTCCCTCATAATTGAAGAATGTACTCGACTTGGATTGACGGTAAGCCTTATTCTCAGCAATCTGATGTATGTGGGTTGGTTTACTTGTTTCTGATACTTTCTTCATCTAGTATATTTGTGTAGCTCCAGGGTCGAGGTCATCTCCCCTTGCAATTGCTGCATCAGCTCATCCCCTTACTACTTGTGTTGCATGCATTGACGAGCGCTCACTTTCCTTCCATGCTGTTGGTTTTGCGCGAGGTTCTCATAGTCCAGCAGTGATCATAACATCATCTGGTACCGCGGCTTCAAATCTTCTTCCTGCTGTAAGTCTAGCTACTTCCATGTTTCTGTTTGTTCCACTTATTGTTGTAAATGCTTGCTGCCTCATTCAAAATTCTAGATTAGTGTATTGCATACTGTTGTCCAATTCATTGCACATTGTAGCTTGTTCTCCTGGTATGTTACTCAATGTCTGAAAGCTTTATTCCAGTAAATGCCTGCTGTCTCGCTCAATTCTTCTAGATTAGCCTATAGCATACTGTTGTTCAATAAATACCTTGCAGACAACAGTTTGTTTTACTATCATTACTACAGCTACATGTCATCCTATTCCACATTGAGATCGGTGATAATTTTGTATTCTTTTTCTTTTTGGGTTATTGTTCTATCCTTTGATTTAAAAGTTCTGAATAATTTGATCTGGTTGTGAAGAAATTGATTGCATCATTATTACTATTATGCAATTATTGAAATAGAAATCTACAGGTCGTGGAGGCGAGTCAAGATTTTTTACCACTTATATTACTTACAGCGGACCGTCCTCCTGAGCTGCAAGATGTTGGTGCAAATCAAGCAATCAATCAGGTACTTGATTTTGATATGAGCAGCTTTTTTATGTGTATAGATTCAAAATTTCGATGTCTTTAGTTGGTCTGCCCTTCAAGTTTAAATTGTCTTGTTAATTTTGTTAGATAGAAGGATTTGTGTTTGCTTCATATAATGGTTTGCTAGTTTCAGTTATTCACCAGCTGACTACAGGATCTGCTGGCAATGACAATCAAAAGAAAGAGCCAATAAGTAGTTAGCAATTATTCAATCTTCCTAAAAAGATATGAAGTGTGCTTTTATGGGCTTTCTCATAATCAACCTTTTTCTTTTTTTTCACTAAATTTACTGATTTAAAATTTTCTATTAGGTCAACCATTTTGGTCCCTTTGTGAGGCATTTCTTTGGTCTTCCTGCACCCACCGATGACATTTCTGCAAGGACGGTACTTACTACTCTTGACTCTGCAGTGAATATAGCAACCTCTTCCCCATGTGGTCCTGTTCATATCAACTGCCCTTTCCGAGAGCCATTGGCAAAAACTCCAAGTATATGGAATGATAGCTGTTTGAAAGGATTAGATTTTTGGATGTCATCTACTGAACCATTTACCACATATATTGAAGTACAACATTCTATTTCAAGTGCTCGTATTCATGCTGATATGGATGAAGTCATTAAAGTCATTGAAAGGGCAGACAGAGGGCTTTTGATCCTTGGTGCCATTCATACTGTGGATGATATTTGGGCAGCTCTTCTCCTTGCTAAACACCTGCTGTGGCCAGTAGTGGTTGACATCTTGTCAGGGTTACGACTCAGGAAGTACATGGCTTGCTTCTCTAATACTGAAGATGATATTTTGTTCATTGATCACCTTGACCATCTGCTGCTCTCAGAAAAAGTCAGGAACTGGATGAAGGTAGATGTGGTAATTCAGGTATCTCCAAGCTCCTTTTATTTTGCATGAATGAAGTAAGTTGATCTTATAAGAAGTTAAAGTCAAATGATGTGAGGAAGAACAAAACTAAATCTTTTTTTGCAAAAAAATACCTTTCGTTTATTTGGGTTATTCTTTTTTGACACAAGGTATTCGGAAATCCCACCAGAAGGTTCAGTACCTGTAGGAACTTGAAAGATCTCGTCTTTTTTGCATTATATTGAGATCTCAGATCTTTAGGAATTAGAATATTTAGAATGTCCATTGCACAAACTCGAATACGAACTTTATGAAATGTTAAAAGTTCCTAAAACCTAAAAATCTATGTTTGAATTTGCAACAGTGCTTCAATTGATGTTTGTCAAGGATGTGGTAGTTTTTTTTATACAAGTACTTCTATGTCTTTATGCTTGAGTGGCCTTCCATATGCATAATTTTAGTGTATTTGCACCATGACAGATCGGAAGTCGGATAACAAGTGCACGCATTCAGGAGATGCTAGAGCATTCCTTTCCTTGCTCATACATAATGGTTGATAATCACCCAAGACGTCATGATCCTTTGCACATTGTAACTCATAGGATCCGAAGTACTAGTACTGAGTTCACCAATTATTTGCTTAAAGCTTGTTCACCGTATCTTTGCAGCAAATGGAATGGTTACCTACGTGCATTGGACATGATGGTGAGTGACAGGCTTTCTGGTTCTATCGTCTTTCTGTGTCATCGGTTTTTTAAATTATTCCTCTAGTCCTTTAGAAAATGTGATTGTTATGTTGGGTGGGTTGAAAAAGAAGAAATTATGCAAAAACTCATTTTAGTAGTATGGTGAAGGATAATATGTGAAACATTTGCTAGGGCAACTGATTGTGATCATTGAACATATTCAAAGAAGACAAAGAATATGCTAATTGTCATAATAGTAGATTATATATTTAAGATGATTGTATGAAGAAAATAAAGTGGAAAGAGCACATAAATTCTAGTAGAGCTATTGAATCATGGCCTTACATGGATAAAATTGAAGAAGAGCAGATAGTATGAAATGCAATGGAGGGCAACTGTTGAAACTATTATTGATAAGATTGGACAAATTCTTACTTTTTATTTGATCCGGATTTGTTGTGTGACTTCGTGAAAATATGCTTTTCCTGCATATGCTGGGAATGCTAACCTTCTTTATATATATGTGTCTGAGGATGGAGTATAATATGCACTTAAATTTGTTCCACCTGGAATATCTTCCTAATATTCCGCTAACAAGTGGGACAAAACATACAGGTCGGTTAGCCAATAATTCAACTCATACTAATTGCTACATCCTTTTGCCTGGATGATGTTATAGTCATATCACTTAGACAAGATAATGCATCTTTTCCATTATGTAACTAAGTTTTGACATCATAATAGAATGGAAGTAGTTAACCATGCTCCCCGAATATATATATATATATACACACACACACACACACACATATACAAACACACACATACACTTTCCAAGAAAAAGCATGAAGAACATTACAGAAAATAAGCATCTTTTAATGTTATCGTTTAATTGTTTCAATAACTTAATGTGGTGGCTGTATTCTAGTCTAAGCTTTTATCAAGTCAAAAATACGATTGACTCGATCACAGTGGATCATAATTTTCTGTTTATTAGAAGATGATCTCATTCACTTTGTTCCCCTGGATTGCATTTGTAAACTCTCTTTATATTCTGCAGGCTGCTTGGGAGATGTCATTTTTAATCAGTTCAGAGTGCTCCCTAACTGAACCTTATGTTGCTCATATTCTCCCGGAAATCCTTGACTACGAGTCGGCTGTATTTCTTGGAAATAGCATGCCAATACGTGATGCAGACATGTATGGATCTAACAAGGCACAAAATACACATAGTGCTTTAATGCTCAACTTGGGCTTGCCATGTCATTGGATACAGGTAGTTGGGAACAGAGGAGCTAGTGGGATTGATGGTTTGCTTAGTACAGCTGTTGGTTTTGCTGTTGGCTGCAATAAAAGAGTGAGTGTTCACGTCTGTATCTGTAACATAAAGTATCTATCCTAGTCTCTTATCTAGTTTTGCTCGGAATGTTATGTTGGAGTATGAATAAGTTTCATGGTGCCAAAAAAAAAAAATTATGATACAAATTCAAACTTTGAAGAAGCTCTATTCTATTGACTTCCCATTTTTCTTGGCAATATTTTGACCTATAATTGGGCCTATAGGCTATTGCATAAATAGCGCTTTCACTACATTGCCTTCACAAGTTGGCTGCTCAGCAGCGCCTCTATTTTTGTGTTCATTGATGCTATTTAATGGGACACAGGCAGATTTCTGAACTAAAATTGATTATCTGCTTTTCTAGTCATATGGAATCAGGTGTTATATGAGAAACATCACTTTGGTTTTTATGTTTTTAAAAGTCTATTCTGCAAAGCACTTCTGCTAGGGTTGTCTTTATTACTTTCTTTTTCCTCTTACAGTTCTTCTATAAGATCAGGGGATTTTTTGGGAAATTGGTTTTCAAATTAAGGAGTGCATACATTAGGACTTAGAAAGTATGCACAGCTAGTGATCCTAAATTCTCTATGCGTTTGTGTATCAATTCACTTTAACATTACATTTTTCCTTTCTGTTTACACTAGTTCAGTTTTTCTTCCCTTAAAGGAAATGTAAGTTCTTTTATGAATAACTTACTTTGTGAAAGCATTAGTTTAGATAGCCCTACTTAAGTAGTATCAGCTCTCTCTCTCTCTCTCTCTCTCTCTCTCTCTCCCATTGTCTTGAGCTTTGTGTTTGTAATCTTTGACTTATGGTTTTATCTGGTTCACAGCTCTTTTGCATTCATACTCCCTGAAAGAAGTTTTATATTCCTTTTTTCCTTTGGGTGGAAGAAGGATAACGAGTTATCTTTTTTCCTGGATGTCTATCTACCGAACATAAAGACATAGTTGCTTGGCTCTGTGCTTCTATGTGTTTTGATTAAAGTTACTTACTTGATGAAGCTCGTCAATCTTTGCTCCAATTCTTTTATCCTTGCGTTTAGGTTCTCTGTGTGATTGGAGATGTTTCTTTTCTCCACGACTCAAATGGATTGTCACTCTTGGGTCAAGGGTAATGAGTTGTTCCTCCACTCTCTTTCTCTCTCCCCCACGCCCCCTCTGTGTGATAATCAGTGTTGAACTTCCCTGGTGGTTTTCTCTTTAGTCCAGCTATTTACTCACATTTCTGTTTTTGGAGGGTAACAAAATTCACAGCTAGCAACTGAAAATATGTAATGTTTGAAGGATTTTGCGGAAGCCGATGACAATAGTTGTAATAAACAATCATGGTGGAGCAATCTTTAGCCTTCTACCAATTGCAGCTATGACAGAGCGAAGAGTTTTAGATCAGTTCTTCTACACATCTCACAATGTTTCAATACGTAACCTTTGTCTGGCAAATGGGTAAGTCATTCCATCGTTATGTTTCAATAACCAGAATGCTATCACTGGTTTTTCTTCCCCAACCCAAGCTCTTGTAGGGTATTTTTGATTTCATTTACAGCGACTGCAGAGGTAACTTAAATTTGCTTCTTTCTTATCTAAGTGATGCTGATACCAATCTGTAATCTAAACAAAGAAGCCTTCAGTTTCGACCATGATCATGTTTCACTGTGCTTTTAAGCAAATTAGTTATTTTCTGGACAGATTATTAAGCCAATTAGAGTTGTACTTTTAGAGTCAACATATTTGGCTGATTCCTTTGCACTCAAAGTTTAACTTGGATTGACTAGAGAAGTATGTATTCTTTAAAGTACTATTGATGTATTTCTTCTTCAACATTATTGAACTTTGCATATGCAGTGTGAAGCATGTAAAAGTACACACAAAAATGGATTTGCTGGACAGCTTATTCACGTCTCAGTGTGAAAAGGTCGATTGTGTTATAGAAGTTGAGAGCTGCATTGATGCCAATGCCAACTTTCACAGGTAATCAGGTTTGAAATGGCTTGAATTACTTTACAGCTTTGTGACTTTCTTTCTCTGCTGACATATTTGCGTTATAGTGATTTGAGAAAATTTAGTCGCCAAGCAGCAGAGCAGACTATGGATATCTTTTCACATTCAACTTCAGTTACCACCGGACAGGCGCAGGGATTCATCATTGGTAGAATTACTAAAATGGATTATTCTCTCTATAGGCAAGTTCTATGAGATGGCTGTATTTTGAAACATTTTCAGGGTTTCAGAAATTCACTGTTTTACCTTATAAACATTAGTATTCCATGGCAGGGTTAACCTGTGTGCTCCACCTACTTCAACTTCAGGCAGCAATGAATCTACCACATTCTATAGAGAAGGCTTTGTTCTTAGCTTGTCTCTTGAAGATGGAAGTACTGGGTATGGGGAGGTAAGCTTATATTTTTACAGGAAGGCATCTATGTTGATCATGAAATTATGAGATTTTGATCAATTTGTAAAAAAGTTATCAGACATAGATGTTTTAGTTTGTGTATGTGTGTGTGTGATCCAGAATTCAAATTTTGTAGCCAGTTGATCAATGTAGCAGAATCTCCTTCATTTGGTTTTCGTAGGTCAAATTTTAAACATAGAGCTTATGACATCCTGAGCTGAAATGAGCAGTGATAAAGATTTCCTTCATGCAAAACCATTTTAACTTCATCCTAGATTACACAGAGTTAGTTGGACAATTCTTTTACTGTTCTGTTTTGGCTTTGCAGTTGGATAGATTTATTGGCTTTTAGTTTTCAGAGTTCCAAGATAATTCTATGTATTGGTGCTTCAGGAGAAGATTTTCCTTTAGATTAAATGGAAAAAAAAAAACCTGTGGTAATCAGGCAAACTGATATGCGACATTTTGCAGAATACCCTCGGTTCCTAGGTTCATGATAATTGGACACTTGATACCTGAAAGGAAGAACATAACTATCTCTTAAACATGTTGTATTCTTGACTTTCAGAAAGGTGCATCTCATAAACATATATTTGCCCATAATTATCTTGTGTTTGCTCATGGCACCTGCTTACTGCTTTTATGCTATCATGCTCTTGTGATAGTCTTTGCTAGTTTAGTACTTCTCTTTGTAGCAAAGCGAAAAAGCCTGCTCTTGTTACTCATGATTTACCATTTCAACAGGTTGCACCTCTTGAAATCCACAAGGAAAATTTGCTCGATGTTGAAGAGCAGCTTAGGTTCCTAATTCACATGTTAGAAGGAGCTAAAATTGATTATTTCCTTCCTCTACTAAAGGGTTCTTTTTCCACCTGGATATGGCACACTTTAGGTATCCTGGTAGGTCAAGAAATCTTTACAGCAATTACGTATCATTTGGCCACTTCTAATGTACTATTTATACATGATGGTATCTTCTCTGCTTGACTACTTTCTAATTTCGACTCTGCTGCATTGTTGATGTGTAGCCAAGCTCCATTCTTCCAAGTGTTAGATGTGGTTTGGAGATGGCTGTTCTCAATGCAGTTGCTGCAAAAGAAGGTTCCTCTATGTTGAATATACTCTACCCAAAGACAGTAGATTTACCCAAGAAGTTTTTGAATGTCCACATCTGTGCACTTATTGACTCTGTTGGGAGTCCACTGGACACGGCATACATTGCAACTTCACTGGTTAAAGAGGGTTTTATTGCTGTAAAGATGAAGGTGAGAGCAGTCATCCCTAAATATCTGTACTTCAAATTCTTTTTTTCTTGTCAATGGTTGAAATGCAGAATGAGAATGCTTATTATACAGTAAAGCTTGATCTTTATTATAGAGTAAAGCTTGATCTCTGGCTCTTAAACCCTCGGTTGGGTTCAGAGTATGAACAGAATTTCATTGTACAGGTAGCTCGTCGGGCTAATGTGATTGAGGATATTGCTGTAATACAAGAGGTAAGGAGGAAGGTGGGAGATCAAGTTGAACTTCGTGTGGATGCAAATCGGAATTGGACATATGATGAAGCAATTCAATTTGCCAATTCTGTCAAGAATTGTCGACTCCAGTACATTGAGGTATCTCCTCCCATGTATGTATGTATGTAAATGTGTGTATATAATTTAGCAATTGTAAGTGGAATTGTGCTTGGGAGAATACTGTCCGTATTTTCTACTTCTAAAAGACCATACCTGATAGCAATGATAAAATTCTTCCTTCAGCTGTTACCAAAATGTTTTAGAAACTTGCAATGCTCCGCAAATGGTAAATTGAGCTGAATAAATTCTTTTGAACTTTTGTTGCCTTCTGACTTGGCTTCCCTCCAGTTTGAATGATAGTACTGCTTGCCTTCATCACAAATTTTATTATACGACATGAGTTTAACCTTCTACCATTGTATTCTAGTGTAGTTAATCATTTTACATTCAGTTTGACTGATAATACTGCTTTCCTTTGTTACAAATTGTTATAAATTTTTATAAAGCTTTCCTGAAGTTCTAAATTACAGGAACCTGTTAGATATGATGATGATATAATCAAATTCTGCGAGGAGACTGGTTTGCCAGTAGCTCTGGATGAAACTGTCAACTGTATTAGAGAGAATCCTTTTGACGTCCTCAACCGATTCAACCATTCTGGAGTAGTTGCTATAGTAAGGATTTGGACATCTTTTTCAATACAGTAAAGATCTGCAGTTGTGGTTGTGAATTTTATCATATTTTGAAGCAACTTTTTGTTTATAAAAAAAGGTACTCCTGCTTGTAACTACAACAAGCTACATTTAGCCAACTATCATGTGGTTTATTGGTGTGGAGTTCAGAGCTGCAATAAACTCGCATGTTTATTTACAAATGGTATATGGTGGTTTAAACTAGTAATTTCAACTGTTTATTTATTGAAGAAAGTAAGTGCTGGATAGTTCCTATTGCTCCACTATTTCCTTCATAAAGTTTAAGAGTATTGCTTCAGCATGACACATGACCACAATAAGAACTAGACACTCGGTTGAACAGCAAATGGAATAATAGCAATCGATATCAAACACTCCATGTATTGTTATCTTATCTTGAAAAGGTTTCTCTCTGAAATTTGTCACAGTTAGGAAAGATCGCCTGTTGTCTCAAGCCTCACTATGTTTTCACACTTTTCCTGTTAGGTTATCAAACCAAGCCTTATTGGGGGTTTTGAAAATGCAGCTCTGGTTGCACGATGGGCTCAGCAACAAGGGAAGATGGCAGTTGTTAGTGCCACATTTGAAAGTGGCCTGGGCTTGTCATCCTATGTTCAATTCTCTTGCTATCTTGACCTGCAAAGTGCAGATATACGTAGACTGATGGATAAGGAACCATCAGCATGTATAGCCCATGGTCTTGGAACATACAGATGGTTTACTGAAGATGTGACTCTAGAGCCATTAAACATCTGTTGTAATTCAAAAACTGGCATTGTTGAGGCATGTGCTACTGATGCTGGTCAACATCTGCAGCACTTCCAAATCAATCAAAATGTGGTTGTGCAGAATTTTGATCAGGAAAATGTTCACGATTACAGGTTGACAGTTGATTTAGAGGGTTTCTCATTTTCCTTCAATGTTCTAGAGATGGGTCAAAGCATTGCTGTAAGTAGTAGATCACAATATCCTTGACTAGTTGATTGTACCTGTTCACATGCTTCTCCTTATAATCTTTGAATACAGTATTCAGAAAACTTCAGATTATTACATCAGTTAAATCTAATTTGAGATATGTTTGTAATAGAGCTCAAAGGAAGACAGTGTCAAGGGCAGCTGAAATAATTTCTGTCTTCTGATGTCCTGAGTATCGTTGCAGGCCTTGTCTTTTATCAAAATACTTAACATCACAATTATGATATGTACATAATAAGTGCATTGTAAAATGATTCCATTTCCTTAGTGTGACTTGGTATAGTACGGTTCCTACTTTGAGGTCTGTTATGCTTAAAGGGTAATCTTATTCCTAGAGGTACAACTCACTTCATTTACATTTGTGTTCTTCTCATGGTGCAGGGAAATGTAGTTGTATTTCTGCATGGTTTCCTGGGTACTGGTCAAGACTGGATCCCCATCATGAAGGCTATGTCAATGTCAGCACGATGTATTGCTATTGACCTTCCTGGGCATGGTGGATCAAAGTTAAAAACTGATTCAGCAGCCAAACCTAGTTTATCCATACATGTCATTGCCGAGATGTTATGCCAGTTGTTTCCTCATATAACTCCTGAAAAGGTTATCCTTGTTGGATACTCAATGGGTGCAAGGGTTGCTTTACATATGGCCCTAAAATGCAGCGACAAGGTAAAGACATCCATGTTTATATTGCATTTACAGTTTATAGATTCTAGTTTACTTTTCAGAATCAGCAAGTTAATGAGAATCTGGGATGTGTGGTTGAAGGTTGAAGGAGCTGTCATTATTTCAGGAAGCCCAGGATTGGTTGATCCACTGGCAAGAAAGTTGCGAAGGGCAAGGGATGATTTCAGAGCAAGTTCCCTTGTTTCTAATGGGCTTGAGTTCTTTTTAGATGCCTGGTATGCAGAAGGGCTGTGGACAAGGTAATGATGGTTTTCACTCTTTTAACTTGCTTTTGTCCTTGGTCCATTATAATTGAGATGCCGTTTTCAAATGCATGGACTCCTTTCCTGCTTTCCTCCTTCATGCAGTTTAAGGAGCCATCCGTATTTTAAAAAGGTATTGGCCAGCCGCTTGCAGCATGATGAGTTGCAGACTCTTGCAAAAGTTCTATCTGATTCGAGTATTGGGAGGCAGCAGTAAGTCTGCAGAAATTCATAATACATGCTAAATTTGAATTTCTTAAATAACTTTGCTAAATCTGGATTTTTATGCATATCTGTATGTGATGGGTTTCTCGAGAGTAAGAAAATTGATTGACTATTTGCCTCCAACTATTATTGACCAATTTTAACTGTCATTTTTGACGTTCCAATAGTGTAATTAGCATTTCACTTTCATTTGAAGTTAATTTGCAAAATAAAGTTGCTACATGGCATATAAATCTTAATCATAAGAATGTATAAATTCTTATTAATGTCTTAATAGTTTAGAAATGTAAAAAGCTAAACATTATGCACTGATTAAGGTTCTATTCCACTAATATGGAATGCATGGGTAGATTCTTCTACAGCATCTCCTCACATCGGATAAGCTAATATTTCAAAACTAACCTAAATAAATATAAGTCAAGCTTTGACACAATTATGACACAATTTCTGAAGATATAAAAACATTTGTGAAATGCAAGGGTTTGTTGGATTCCTTTGGACCCTGAACCTGTGGTGTATGATATAGATATTAAACATCTCTGTCATCTCAAATTGTTGAAGCAATATGGGCTTGTTGCAGTTGGTGGACGTGTATCTTTTGACTCATCTTAGCTACAGTCACATGTTCTAATCTGGCCAAATAGTTTTGATTTTATCTGAGTCATTGTATTTTCATAAAGTAAAATTTAGGGTTAGTAATCTTTCTTCCTTTTCATGACAGACCATTGTGGGATGACCTGAAGCATTGCAAAATACCACTTCTATTCATTGTTGGAGAGAAGGATCTAAAGTTCAAGAATATTGCTTGGCAGATGGTTAACAAATACTGTACAGGGACTAGAGAGAGTCCAAAACTAATTGAAATCTTAAATTGTGGTCATGCTGTGCATCTTGAGAATCCTCTCCCTGTCATCAGTGCAGTCAGGCAGTTCTTAAAGAGAATAGAAAAGGCTTCAGTTCTTAGCAATAGATGATGCAGGTGTGTTATAAGTAAAAAGATAATGTGCCAGATCACTGTCATGCTACTATCTTTCAGGGTGAGCAAGAGGACAGAAACTGCAATACCACCAAAATTTTGTTCCAATCTTCCTGAGATGGGATAATATTATTAAGAAACAACCTAGGAAAGATACAGTATTATTAAGAAACAACCGAGGAAAGATTCATCAACTGTGTATGGAAAGCATGTACTGTTGCTGCTGCCCACCTCAGGAAATTAGGGAATCTAAGCTGTAGCTGTAGTCTACATGCTCAAGAATCCTGTTTATGGTGTGTGTTATGGAACGGTATTTACTTAAGCAGTATGAAAGTCGAAATGAGGGCAGAGGCTTGTTGTTGCCCACTTTATTCTCTGATTTCTGTTGTTTGGCAACTCATTCTTTTTAAACCTTCACGTTTTAGAAATTTGGTCGTGTCAATGCCAATGTCCAGACATTCATTCTATCTTACAGCTTGCCTAATGGAGGTTTGCATCATTGATTGAATTGATCCATTACATTCCATTGTTGGTCCACTTTAAGGTTTCGAGGCAAGTGATCTCTGAGATTATATGCTGGCGTCAGGATGATGATGAGACAACCTATTCTTAAAACTCTAAACTGATGTCTGCAGCATTCACGGATCTTTCTTGTATGGCGAAAGGCATGAGAAATGCTATTATAAGAATTTGGATAAAATACCAGAAACCCCCCTGTGGTTTGCCAAATGTACACTTTACCTCCCTATGATTTGGAAACTTATAATTTAACTTCCTGTCGTTTCAATTAAAGTGAAATCTGACGGAAAACATCTAAACTAACGTTTGAATAAAATGCCAAAATTGCCCTTCTATAAGTCAATTCCTCGGAAGAATGTTTCGTGCATTTGAGAATGGGTAAAATACCAAAAACTCTCCTGTGATTTGTTAAATGTACACTTTACCTCCTTATGGCTTGGAAACACATGGGGGTATCTTTGGCAAGTGAAAATATTATCGCAACCACAACTCTCAACAGAAGCGCGTGATACTCAAATACCGTTATTGTAGATGTTTTTCGTCAGATTTTACTTTAGTTGAAACGACATGAGTTAAATTGTAGGTTTCCAAATTATAGGGAGGTAAAGTGTACATTTGACAAACCACAGGGTGGGTTTTTGGTATTTTACCCTAAGAATTTTATGCATCAAGAAAAATGTCATGACAGATTTGGCATGAAATATGGCAATGAGGGACTAAATGCTGAGCCATTTAAGCAGCCTCAAATCCTCTCCCTGATCAGCAATTTTCATGGCACCTAAAGTTCTACTTTCTTGAGGTTCTTATCGCTATGGCTAAATACTAAAAAGAATGTTAGCAGAATTCATGGATATATAAGTATTGAATTCCATTGCATCTTAACTTGTATCTGAGAGAACAAGTTGATTAAAAATTCCCGTTTGACTCAATTGGTGAGGTGTGCGGGAGTGTGTACTGTGCACCATGACGGAAAGAAACTTTCCTTAGTTATTCACGCATTAGTTTTAATTCAAGAAAGGCAATTGGCTGCCTGATCAAGGAAGAGTAATCTCGTAGTCATCAACTACCGACTAAGACTTCAAATTCTTTGCAACAAAAATAAAAAGAAGCATTTTCAAACTTCAACTGTGTGATAATCTGCTAGAGTTTTTAAAGCATAGAAATGATCTGACTTTCTCCTGTTGATTGAATTGGTAAAACATTGTCATCGTCAAGGTTTTGACATGATGGCTGAAGCAGAGTTCTCAGTTATCTTTGAAACCCTTAATTAACATGGACCAGCCTATGCTTCATAGACATGCTTCATTTCATGCAATTAGGCATGCCTCATAAATATTTGGTCATTTCGTCTGGCGCTCAATTTCCTGCCTTTTCTGGGGTTCATTCATCTCCCAATGACTAATGCATGCATCATGTTCCATGTTTTAAGGCAGGATTGGAGGTAAGACAAAGGGACCTAGTAACTGGATAAGACTATTCTTGTTGGAATGTTTGGGGTTCACTCAACCCCAAACTAAAAGCTTCCAAGGTGGGTAACCTTTATTTATTTTTTTTGGGGGTAAAACTCGAACATTTTCTTTATTAAATTACTTTATATTAAAACATGGTCCTCTCCATTTTGGATTGAGGTGAAGCAATAGGTTGGAGATATAAATGGTATTTTACTTAGGGTTCATCTTATATATACTGATGGTATATATACTAACGGATATAGATGAATATCGCCTAATTTAAATTTCAATTCTTGCACACGCGGTTAGTCGCATGCACTGAGGGTAATCTATTTAGTTAATGTCTGTGTGTCACATCTCTTTTGTTGCAGTTTGTTGGACTAATAAACTTACTACTACCGTATTTGTGTGCAAAGTTGTGCATCTTGTTGGAATTAGAACAGGTCAATTTCACTTGTTAACTACACAGAATAAAATCATATCCTGCCATTCTAACGTATAAAATGTGGGTTGGTAGTGCATTGTCATGTTTGAGCGAGTGCTACTAGAATTGATGGAAGAATGTACAAGGTTACTGCGTTGTGGTCACTATGGATAGCTGTAGTACAATTACAACATGTATATTGTTTAGGTCAATTTTGCCGTATTAATAACTGTATTGTAAAAGTAAACTGTGATGACCATTCATTACTATGATGGTGATTGTGTAGCAATTTAACTGGCAATGCCATTAATCTAATATTTGAGCTAGTCACATATAAATGTCATTTTCTCGTCCTGATATCATGCTAATTAAGGTTTCTCTTCAGTTTCAGTAGATGATATTAGGATGAAGGGCATTACGATTCACTACAACACCTGTCTGCATTACCCAAAGGTGTCCTATATAAAATTCCTCCTCATGTGGAGCTAACATGGCTGTCTATCCTTAAAAAAAAAAAATTAGTACAAAAACTATAACGATGATGCTCATGAGAGGATGGAGATGGTGAACTCTACCTTACGTTTTGTTGTTCATTTTTTCTTTTTTTTTGCGATACTATTGCTCATCATCAAAGAGTACTAGTCAAGGAAAAAAACAGTAGAAAAAAAAATATACAGTAGGACCTAATTAATCAGAATATCAGATTGGACGTGAACAATGAATAAGTCTATTGATCAAAAGATTGAAGTAAAAGTTTCTGGGAATTCACGAGAGGAAAACGAGAGGTTTCTGTCCAAAACCATATTCAAGACATAATTGCCTGATGTAATAACACGCAGCAGCGATATTAGGCATATTCAAGACACCAATTTCCATGTAATTATTAGACGTATAATTTGCAATCCATGCTTTGCAAAACTTGTCTATATTCACACAAATTTGAAACTAAACTTTTTTTGAGGCTTAAAATTTTCTTTCCATCTCACAGTTTCTTTTATCGCAGGTCTATAAATATTTCTTCTTCACTGCCAAAGTTCCAATCTCAAGATATATATGCCTCACTCATGTCTCCTGGGATGCATGCACATATGCTTCTCTTGACCCTCAGCTCCGAACCAACGCCACCACTTCCTCCTCCGCAGTGATCCGCCTATTTCCACCTCTTCTTCGAAGTATTAGAAGCAGCAGCTAATATTGTTAACGTCCTTCACAACCACCCATGATGATGAACCACCAAATTTTACAACGTTCTCATAACTTCCCTTCCCTCCCCCTCTTTCCCCGTTCAGTGCCCCGTCACCTCAGAAATTTGATCCCTTTTCCCGGCTTAAATTATGCTTCCAAACACTACAACAAATATCCTCTCCAGCGGCAGCTCTCTCTCCTGTGTGCCTCCAAAAATGCAAACTCAGAGGTTCTGCGTACATTCTGAATTTTACTAGGAAATATACTATCTAGTGGAGGAAGGTCTGAGTACAAAACATAGTAGCATATTTTGGAGGCTTTGATTTTTCTTTTATTTGTTGCATTGGAAATTAAACTATGAAATCATCTTCTTTTTCTTCGGTCTGTCTATCTTTTTCTTCGTGTCCTTGATCATGCCGCCATTCAAGAGCCGTGATATAGGGCCAATGCTTAATTTTGAGATAAATTCTTTTGGGGGGTCATGTCATATAGCCTATAGGGGGATCACAACCGAGTCCGACTGAGTTGAACTGTTTAAGGAAAAGTTCATTGGAAACTGAAAATGGTTTAAATAAATCTTAATCTGTATGAACGTTTTCTTGTTTTCCTTTGAAGATTGTTCATATGCCTATTGAAGGGTTTGGTATGATAATATCTTGATAAACAGGTTGTGATAGATTCAAGGAAAGAAGAAAGAGAAATGGAGCTTGAAGAGGCTGCAATTCTGATGTCCACATGCATTACTAGAACTTTGCCTGCTGCATTGACTCTTGAGGAAGGTTTGAACAAGATTGAGGAGGCTATTCAATTCTTGATGGCTAAGCCGCCTTCCTCTTCTAGTGGGATGTTCAGGTTCCAGGTACTGTACAGTTGAATTAGCATGCAACTTTCAACCGATGAAATAAATTTAAAATTCTTGAAGATGCTTCGAATTGGCAGGGAAATTTTGACTTCAATACTTCATACTTTTTTTCTTCATGTTAAAACATTAAAAATTCAGAGTTCTGTGGAAGCATATATATTCATCAACCTCTAAGCTAGGATAATTTCTCTGCTGGCTAGCTTTGTTCAAATAGTCTGCTGCAATATGACATCAAGCTTTAGATTCTACCGGGTATGGTTTAGTTTCTCCAAATAGAATGTGTTAAAGCCAATAACATGATGCACGTAGTCGAGAGGTTGAATTCAGGATATTATACAGAGAATAATTTCCATTTTAAATTCATTGTTCGCTTTAATCTTTATGTTTAAACTTAATGAAAACATGTACATTGACCAGATTCCAGAAATGCGGATGCAAGAACTAAATAAACTCTAGAAAACAAAAAGTTTACAACAATTTTCTGGTGCAATATAAGAGTATAGCATCATTAAGAGGCCTGCCAATTCTTGGGTACGTCTAAGAGATATATAGGTCCATGTCTAAGAGGTTAGTCTAGCTAGGAAGGTTCACAGATGATAACCTTAATTAACAGAAGGAAAAGGGTATAAAGATTTTAAGCCTGTGAAAGTTTATGCATGCATCGTTAACAAGATTTGTTTTTGCCTTTGAAAAATGTAGCAACTGCATGGTAAAGAAAATCAACATTCCATGCACTCCCCAACTTTCATATTTTTGATGAATAGAAAATCAACTTGGGCATTTTTCTAATGTTTGTCCCAAGTTTTAGCGGATGTTAAATCAAATATTCTAATAAAAAAAAAAAGTACTAAATAACCGCAAAGCAACTGTCACAAATTCTGTAAGAGTAGCTGTTTTCCTTTTTCTCTTTTTTTTTTCTAAACAATTAATTAGCAATGCCTGTATAAATAGATAAAGAGAGTAATAAAATTTAATTTGAATACTCGTACGAGTTTAAAATTTATTTATTTTTTAATTTAAATTTTTTTTACAAGATTCTTTTAAAAAATAAAACATGCCCCCACAATAATTTACAAAATTTTCACATCTCATCACTGTATACGGTTTGTATGCTATTAATTTCCCTGGTTTCTATGCCCCATGGTCACATGCTTTATAATTAAGGTAGGAGATTAAGAAATTTTGCTACTGACAGCATTCTTCTTCAGGCTTTATCAATAATAACATGAGTTGTCCTTTTAATTTTTTACTTTGTAAATTCAGCAGTGCTGCTAGAGCTGTCTGTTGAGGAAGCTCCCATCAATAATAGTTTATACTATATATATATATTTGAACCCTATTCAATACCCAAAAGAAAAAAAAAAAGAAAAAAAAGTGAGTGGAAGACAGGCTTAAAATGGCAGAAATTTTGTTTTCATAAGATGAAGTAAAAATAAAAGACATACATATATATTTCTTTTCCACATTTTCTTTAATTGCTGTAGTAAGGGCTTATATTCAGCCTGTTGAACTCTAGCCTGACAATCAAATTTTAGTTGCAAAAAATTTCATTAAATTGTATGAAATATTATTAAATATCTCATAGAACACAAATTGAAGCTCTAATTTAGGTCCAAGCTATTTACTAAAAACAGATGTCACTTATGTAAATTACAGATTTTGAGGAAGCTAAAATGACACACTAATTACCAATCCTAAGAAAAATAGGAAAATGAAAAAGAAAATTCCCCTTGAAGAAAATATTGGAGTCAGCTCCATTAAGGGTCCTCCCGCCTCACCCGCTTCCTGCATCGAGTGACACCACGCGCCGCCGCGCCGCAGCCATCTTTTGTAATTAGCTCTTTTGCAAACTAAAACGAAAACCCACCTCAAATTTTGTAACTTTTTTTTTTTTTTTTTTTTAACTTAAGGTTGCTGTTCCTCCAAGTGCAAAGGCTTTGAACTGGTTTTGCAGCCAACCAGAGTCAGATGGGGTGTTTCCTCAATTTTATCTTTCAAAAGAGAAGGAGAATCCAACATATAAATCACTTGCTCTGGGAAGAACTCGTGGGGTATTCGGAATAGGTTCAGCACTATCTTTTAATGCCCGGTACACGAATGGTTCAGAAAATGGCGATGCAACAAGTGAAGGGTAGCTTCTTTGCTGTGTGACTGAGTTTTTTTACGTTCCTTTTTCCCCCTGCATTTGTCTGTTGTCATTTCTTGCTATATGTATTTTTGAACGAATATTTTTTCTGCTCTACTGGGTGAAGAAATGAGGTGGCTACTGTAATGGGGTGGGGGCAGAGAAAAGTTTTCTGTTAGTTATATTTTTTGGGTTCTAAACTTTTCATTGTCTAGCTTACCTTTTTTGTGTCTATAGGACCAGCCATATAATAAATTAGTGCTGTGGCATTTTGTCTTAACTCTAATCTTGGAATATCTATCTGTTAGTCATGAGGTATGATTTATGAGGTATTTTAGAAACTTCAGTTGTAGAATCACTGACTATGTATGGACATTTCTTTAAGAAAATTTACAAAAATTTACCATGGTCTTTGCCTTGTGCTTGGGCGCTGGGGCAAATCAGTGGCAACAAGAGATTAAAAAAAAAAAAGGAAAGAAACTCCATTTCCAGCTCAGTTGTTTATTTTTTATTTTATACTCATAGTTTATTTGCATTAGTTGGATAAAATTGGGGGAGTACATATCCTATTCCTGAGTAAGATTAAAGGGTGTTTAGTCATTAATTACTGCATTTTAGAGAGTTAATGGACTATAATATTCGTTAAATGAATTTAAGTGGAAGCACCAAAAATTGAAGGACTATCTGCTGTTGTCATTTGAGAGAAATTAACATGAAGAGTTGGCTCCAACTGAAAAATGATTTGGTATTTTAGCTGCAGTGCAGCCGCAAACTGGAATGTGCACAGAAACTGTTGCATGGGACTTTCTTCAATTTAAGATTCACCTTAACCCTCATGAATGTGTGGATTTGATAAAAGCTTTTCTTTCATATTCCTGCAGATATCTATCTGTTGAACTTGCATTTCCAAGAGTATATGGCTTTCTGGATACTAATGTTGACAAGATATTGGCCTCCATTGAGCACGAGACTGGTTCATTCTACCTCTTCATCCCACAGGTATACCAATGTCCTTCTTGCATGGGCCAATGTTTTTACTGTTGGTTGCATCGGATCGAGTGCTTTATTCTACAGTAATTGATGATAAAATTTCAACAGATTGAGTTGGATGAGTTTGAGGATACCTCTATCTTGGCTGCAACCCTTGCATGGAACGATTCCTCCTTATGTACATTTTATGAAGCCATTCAAACGTATGAATTATCTCTTTTCCAGGTAAAATACTCTTGTTATCTTTAAACTGCCAACTTTTTCTTTCTTGCTTTGGCAATTGGAAGTAAATTTTCTGCTTCAATCTTTGCTGAAGCAAATTAATGCAGTATGAAAGTACTGACAACTCTTTATCTGTTATTTCTTTCCTCTGAAAGCAGACACTATTTATTCCCCTTCTTTTCCTTAAGTGGAACTGAATGTTCTTACTGTGTTATTTGCACAAATTTTGGTATTTTTAATCAAAACTAACTAAATATTGATAATTTTAGTCCTATTCAATTAGTACAGAAATGGATTTTGACTTCAATTAAATACCAACAACCAATACCTGGCATTTTTTCTCATACCCCTTGATTCCTTCTTCTTTCTTCGTTGGCTCCTTCTTCCTCGTTCTTTTTCATCTATTTGGGTGAATATGAGCAGTTTTAACAAGACATATAAATATAGTTTTTCCCTTTTTTCAGGCGAGAATTAATTTTTTGTCAACCACACAAGAATGCAGCCGAAATTGCAACTCTTCCACTGTACAGAAGTTCAACATAATGGAGGATAAAAGTATCCAAATGGTAAGGAGAATTTTTGAACTTCCTTTTAAAAGCAAGCAATATGTCAAATTGCAATGTGTCAATGATCAGCCCTACATGAGAGAGAGAGAGAGAGAGAGAGAGAGAGAGAGAGAGGAGGTTTGCATGTCACAGTCTGAACTGGTATTTGCTCTTTCTGAAGGTTATATTCTTTACTGAATATTCCTCTGAATGTACTCGTCCAAGGTAAGATACCTGGATGAAGGTTTACTACTTTTGGTTTCACTTATACTCAATCTTCTCCTGAAATACAATAAGTTTATATGGTAAGGGAGGGTGTTCACCTAAGTACTATTCCTTGTTGTTCATGAATACTCATGGAGAATTGCAATGAATTTGATTTGAGAAACCAAATATCTCAACGATGGTATCCTGTAACATGAATTTGTAGGTACGTCTAAGTGCTGTTCGATTAAGAGGAAATTTTCTTCAGTCTGGCTCGGAGGAACTGGCTTCTGATTTATTCTGGTAACATTTTAATTTGACTCGTAAACCTCTCTATGTCAAAAAATTTTGGCAGAGTCTAGAGTTGTATATTTATTATTTAGGATGCCAAACATATGTGCAGTACACAAGAATACTTGCTCATATCTTTACTCTAATCATGTTAAACTTTCTAGTTTGATATGTGTGATTGTTTTTATTTGTCTATTGTATGCTTATAGTTTTCTTTACGAGCTGCAAGTGTAGACTTCTTATCAAAGATGCTCTGTGTTGTTCCAGTCAGTTCTCTGCGAGGTTCTCTCCTACACTGGCTGTTGCCAATAACATGGTAAGCCACTAGTCCTTATGAATTCATGTACGGGTTTCCTGTCTAGTTACCTACTAAATTTCCTTAGACAAGCATTACAAAATTTTTGTCGAGATCTGAACATTGTGCCACCCAGCTGGACAGAAAAATCTGTCTAGTTTGCAGCATTATACTGCTTCCTCAAAGAAAGTTAACTGTTGACCTGTCTAACAAGTGAACTTCGAAAGAATGTACTAATAACTTATTTGGTGCAATATGTATCTTGATAATGATACATTTTGACAATGTTTTAGGAGAAAGAGATCATGCATTTGACTAATAACTGCAACCTTGATTGGAAAAATTGGAGTAGTGCTTTAACAGGCAAATGGATATGCAATTACTGAATTATTCTTAGAACTTTTTGAGGTTCCATTTTAGCTCAAAGTCTACAAGATCAGTGAACTTCATCATTCAAGATGGAAAATCACATCACTTCTATTGTTGATATCATTCTTCCACTTGTTTGCTTCTAGACTTTCATTTTTGTTTGGCAATGATGTACATAATGTATGTCTCTGCTAATCCTCATGATGTATACGTCTTGATATTACACAACACAAACTTGCTTAAAGTAGTTGACTCCACTGTCTTTTCCCAGTATCAGATTGATCGTTTTAATCTTACAAGCTACTACGAAAATGATTGCCCCAACATTAATACCTTATGGGCTTCACTTATTATTGAAGAATGTGTTCGACTTGGTGTAACGGTAAGCCTGTCCATCCAGATTTGACTTCCTTTCATCGGTTTACATATTTCTGATGTATATCTTGGCCAGTATTTTTGCATAGCTCCGGGATCGCGATCATCTCCACTTACACTTGCTGCTTCTGCTCATCCACTTACTACTTGTGTCGTGTGCATAGACGAGCGCTCACTTGCCTTTAATGCTCTTGGTTATGCTAGAGGTTCTCATAGACCAGCAGTAGTTATAACAACATCAGGCACGGCTGTTTCAAATCTTCTCTCTGCTGTAAGTTCAATTGTTCCATCTTCATGCTTGTATTTACATATTATTCTAAATGGATACAATACCAATGATCTCCTTTGGAACAAGCCTAATCAAAATGCAGTCTTCAACTTTGCACAAAGTTAGCTAGAATTCTTGTCCCCTCTTGTTGTAATTGAACCCATCAAAATTTGTATCCACTCGAATTCTGGAACATGTTTTGTTTTAAGATACCAACACTACAATCTTCTTTGTGGGTAGCATTTGGAGCTTATGTTCTATAAATTTTCCATTTTTAAGTCTTCCTTTCTCATGTGAATCTAAAACATTCTTGGCAGACAGTATTTAGTACTTCTGTTTTTTAACTTTCCCCTTCTTAACCATTGTTTCTCTTTGAATCCGTCTTTTTCAAGTAAGGTTGAGCTTCATCTGACAGAATTATTAACTGTGAAAATAGATTATAGCATCAACTTAGTTATAACATACAGGTGGTGGAGGCCAGTGAAGATTTTGTACCACTTATATTACTCACTGCTGACCGTCCCCCAGAGCTACTAGATGCTGGAGCGAACCAAGCAATTAACCAGGTACTTGGCAGTGATTCTGTAAATGACCTAAAAAGTTTAAATTTGTAGTCAGTTAACTTTTCAAGAACTCTCACGTAAAATCAGAGTTGGTAAATCTTTTCTTTAAACCACATGCATTTTGGTTCATATTCTGGTAATTGCTTCGGTTTATGAACTATTGAGTTTGCAGAATATGTGAAGCCTCCTGATGAGGACAGGAAAAGTGTTTGTCCCATACCTCTCTTATATGCGCCAATGTGGTGCTTGTTTAATGGATTAAAGGACTTCTGTAAAGCCAACTTTCGCTTAGGCTCCCAAAAAGCTGCCTATGCTAATATTCAGACTTATGTAGTTACGACTGCCTAATAATGTGCTTCAAAGTACTAGTCTGGAATCATGGATGACACCTTTGGCTGTGAAGCAAAAACTGAATCTGATATGGATGATAGCCTTAGACCTCTTTATATATATTTAAGTAGCTGCAATTTTGAGCCCAGATTTTTTCTGAGAATCATTGTAAACAGTCACTCCTAAAGCACATACTTTACAAAAAATAAATCTTTTTGAAGTTATCTTCATTTCTTTGAAGAGTTGCCATCACCTTTTCTCTTCAAGTGTGTTTGAGTAGCCGTAGATGGATTGTACAATATCACAGTATTAGTTGACCTGAATGCATGTTCGACATCTTACAAGATGATGTTGGATTAAGCCTAGTAATGATTCTCATCAATTTATGTAGACAGCAAGCATGGAGAATGAGCAAAAGATTTAGTAATGATTGTAATCAAAGAATTAAGCCCAGTAATGATTGTCATCAAAAGATTTCTGTAGTTCACAAGACCAATTTCAACAGGTAAGGACATTGACTAGGTGACCATGAGGTCTCTGGTTTGACTCTTAAGCCTCCCCTTCCCCTTCTTCCCTGTACGGCTTAGAGTCTCCCTTGAACCAAAAGATTTCTGTAGATACACCACCCTGACTTCTTTATTGGTATTATTGTTTTCTCAAGAAGCATTCTCAGTAACTTGCTTAGTCTCTTATATTTGGTTCTAAGGTTAACACATTGTTTTGTCTGGCAGGTCAATCATTTTGGACAGTTCACGAAGCATTTTTTTGGTCTTCCAGTGCCCACTGATGATATCTCTTCTAGAATGGTCCTCACTACACTTGACTCTGCTGTTTACATGGCTACCACTTCACCCTATGGTCCTGTCCATATCAATTGTCCTTTCAGAGAACCATTAGGGAACATTCAGACGACATGGGAGAGTAGAGGTTTAAAGGGATTAGAAAATTGGATGTCAACTTCAGAACCATTTACAACCTATTCCCAGGTTCAGCATTCTGTTTCATCTAATCAGTGTCATGGACTTATGGCTGAATTGGTCAAGCTAATTCAAGGAGCGAAGCAAGGGCTTTTAGTGCTTGGTGCTCTTCATACAGAGGATGACATATGGGCAGCTCTTCTCCTTGCTAAACACCTGAATTGGCCAGTTGTTGCTGGCATCTTGTCAGGGTTACGCTTAAGAAAATATATGGCTTCCTTTTCAGAAATTGAAGAAAACATTATATTCCTAGATCACCTAGATCAAATGCTTCTCTCAGGTGCAGTCAATGACTGGATGCAAGCTGATGTGATAATTCAGGTATTTTCTTGAGCTTTGCTGTTTATTGATGGATGTCGTACCAATATCTTATTACTTTAAGAATAAGGTCTTCATGAAATTTATTAGGTGAAAAAAGGAAGATTGTGGAATGCACAGAACATATGGAAACAACTATAAAAATTGAAAATCACGATCTTGTGGCACTGGAGTTTTCTCCTTTGATCTTCATGTGGTGGCACCAAAACAATCTAATAATTAGAAAGTTAAATGTCTAAATATTCAACATTTATTAGTAATAAATGATCAAATCATCTATTTGGTAAAGATCAAGTTAGTTAGTGAATATAATCTTTACTACTGCTAATTACCTAGAGTGACTTTATCATGTGTCTCTGTTTTCCTGTACTTGCATTGTGACAGATTGGTGGTCGGTTAGTTAGCAAACGCATTTCAAAGATGCTTGAAGGTTGCTTTCCTTGCTCCTATATAATGGTTGACAAGCATCCAAAACGTCATGATCCTTCTCACATTGTAACTCCAGGATCCAGAGTAGCCATCACGGAGTTCACTGTTTGTGTAAACAAAAGCTGTTGTACTTCCAAACATGATAACAACAGATGGAAGAGCATTCTAACGAGCTCTCAACTAAATGGTATGTGACCAGTTTCCAAGTGACATTCATAGTTATCGTCATACAGGACAACAGTTAAGGATTGATAAAAGGCTGTGGTAGTGAGGATTTAGCTAATGCAGAAGCTAACTTTTACTGAGTTAGAAAATAGCACGTGGCAATAAATTTTCAGTTACATTATCGTTTGAACAAGTTTTACTACTTCACTCAAGGTGAAGAACAATCAGTCTACCAGAATTTAGCAGTTGGTTTCAGAAATGTTGCAATCATGAATTCCTTCGGCAATTTCCGAGCTAGATAAAAATGATCGGGTTCTCGGTGTCAAATTAGTGTAAAATATCAATGGGGAAGATATCATTGTTCTTTTAGTTTTTTTAGCATTAAGTGTAGAGCCACTGATGCTCTTGCACCAACATGTTATGAATTGGAGAAGGTGTAAGAACACTGGGCCTTTTGGAGTCAAAAGGCAGGTAAAGCACCTTCATTCTTGCAGAAATGAAGTGGTTTCAGTGTGCTTAACATGACTAAATAAGGCAATTGTGACATGCAATGGTTTTCTCTGCTCCTTGCAATTCCCAAAGTTTTTGCTTCAGGCTCTTTGTCAGTGTCACTTCTCCACTTCGTTGCTATGCGTGAGCCGTAGAAAATGACTAGTATTCGATGCTATTTATGCATTAATGCCTAGTTCTGCTAAGGAGCAGATTAAGATACCAGGATACTTGTGTCTTGCTAATCCTACCTCCAGTGCGCAGTTGACTAGACTGCCAGATTCTCACATGTTATTTTAGCCTTTCTATAAAAGATGCAAATGTTGGCTTTTTTCTCCCTCTTTTTCAGGCTGCCCGAGAAATCTCGTCTCTGATTGATTTAGAACAGTCTTTGACTGAACCTTATATTGCACATGTAGCATTGGAAAATCTTCGATGTAACTCTGCTATATTTATCGGAAACAGCATGGCAATACGCGATGCAGACATGTATGGGTATAACTGGGCAAAATGTACCCATGAAACTTCAGAGATGCTGAGCTCAGGATTCCAATGTCACCGTATTCAGGTTGCTGGGAATAGAGGAACTGGTGGCATAGACGGGCTGCTTAGCACGGCTGTTGGATTTGGTGTTGGCTGCAACAAACATGTAAGTAGCTTGGCATTGATTTGCATATCCTTTCCGAGGTTTCACTTTCTAATATCTGATTCTTCTTTTTTCCCCTAGCCGCTGCTTGATAAGTGTACAATAAATCTACTTTGGTTATTGTAATCTTTGCAAAGTTCTATCTCCATCGACTTTTTCTTTTGTTGTTTTCAGTCAAATTTCCAATTGGGAACAAACCTGAATTCTTTATTTTTTAGGTTTATTTTTGAGTTTCATATAACTTGAGTGTGGGATGCACCAGTAAAAATTTAACAGCAGTTCAGTGCCATTTTGAAAGTGTGAACAGTAGCCTGTATGGAGCTGATGAGATGACAAGTCCAAAGCACTTTTTTTTTCTTGAAAAGCATTTAAACAAGTAAATAAAAGAAAATAACTGCTGAAATTTTGTTAAAGGGCTTTTTGTTGAAGTAGATACCCTGCTTCTTGTGCAATATAAAAGAAAACAAAAAGAGAAGCAAAAAATTGAAGAATGAGTTTTTTGTATCTTAATGTTTAGTAAATTGATGAGCCTTCATTACATTCCCAGCAAGAATAAATGGACAAATAAGCAAAGATCATTTTTTGTTAAGTGATTAATTTTATTCTTTTCAGGTTCTTTGTCTAATTGGAGATGTTTCTTTTCTGTATGACACAAATGGACTGTCACTACTGAGACAAAGGTAATTAGATATTCCTCCTCCTTTTCCCTCTCCTCTCATGCCATTCACTATAACATTTTGCCTCTGATGCCCAACTATTACATCTAATTTGACATGCTTATCTAGTCATGCATACGAGAAGCATTCTTTGTCAAAGAAACAACCTCTCCTTTCTTGGACAGATCCCATTCAAGATAGCTTCCTGTTCCTATCCTTTACCATACTCAAGCATGGTTTGAACTACTTCTTTGGTTTCCCCTCATTATGTGGATATACACTATGTTAAGCTTAAAATTTTTTCTGCCAAGCCAGGCAAAATCATCTTGTACCATATATTCCCCCTTAATTGCTGGTTACCCTGTAACTGTCTTTCTAGAACATCTACGGTTTCATGACATTTTGCATTTACCTCTCTTCATTTCCCTCCCTTTGCTAAACCTAAAGTAGCCCATTTATTGTATTCCACCTCAATGTAACTCTGTATGCTGAAATGTTATTGATCTTGTTTGTTTGAAGGGTATTGCGGAAGCCAGTGATTGTAATTGTAATAAACAATCAGGGTGGTGCAATTTTCAGTCTCCTGCCATATGCAAAGCTGACAGATCACAAAATTCTAGATCAATTTTTCTACACATCTCATGATGTTGCTATTGGGGATCTATGCATGGCACATGGGTAGTATTTCTATGCCCTTTATACTGTCATGTGTGGAATGACTTCACTCCCTTCCTCTGTGTGCTTTCCAGACTACAGGGGCGTGCCTTCTCTTAATATGAGAAATGTGATTAACTAATTTGGGCGAGTTGCGCAATAATCCGCCCTCTAATTCCCTTTCTTGTACTTCATTCTGAAGCCCCTTTCCTTCTGCTAAAAGGGCTTTTTGAGATGCTGCATCGTTGCTTCTGCAATAAAGGGGGAAGTACTGTTTGTTTAACAGAATTTATGTTACTTCTAGCGATAGAAGGCAATCTAACTGGATGTAGCTTTTTTAGATAGGCTTTTCCCGGAATTGGTGAAACCCGTACTAGAGTTTTCTCTTTACAGAAAGTCCTAATAACCATGTGTCAGTTATCTGACAGCATTAGTCTCTCAGATAAACCACTTGTTAAAAATGAAAGATAAAGGATTAAATATTTTCCTCCTATTCTTGTATGATTCACATATTCTTGAATTTTGGTAAAGAAAAGCTCCAATTATGCAGCATGAAGCATGCACAAGTTCAGACAAAGAAGGAATTGGGTGAAGCTTTATTAACAGCCCAGCAAGAAAACTGTGACTACGTCATAGAAGTAAAGAGCTGCATTGACAACACAGCGACCTTTCACAGGTATCATGGTCAATACTAGTTTGGATTACACATCGCCTATGAATGTAACTAATTTGAATGCTCTGCTTACACATTGCATTCCTCTTCTCAGTCATTTGGGGGCATCCATTTCTCAGGCCATTGATCATTCTTTAGGTGTGCTCTCAAAGCTTTCACAATCAGAAACAACCTTACATGGAAGTTCAAGTATTAGAATCTCTAAAATGGAGTATTCTCTGTACAGGTAAGTCCTTTTATATGGATGAAATTTAAGGTTTTCTAAGACTACAACCTGAATCTGATGTGATTTTAAAAACTGTATTATGGCAGGATTCCATTAAGAGCTCCACCAACTTCATCTTCTGGCAATAATAACTCTTCCATATTCTACAGAGAAGGATTTGTCATAAGCTTGTGCCTTGAGGGTGGAGGTACTGGGTTTGGGGAGGTAAGGCTCATGCTATCTCTTCTTAGTTTACCATTTTAGAAGGGTATGCAGACATGAATATGTAACTCTGCTTTTGCATCAAGGAACCCACTAAACTTGAACTAAGATCATGGAACATGTTGAGCTAAAATTTCCAGATTACCTGGCATGATAGTTTGGGATTTCACTACTGTTTTGTGTTAGTAACTGACAATTTGATTGCATATCTCAGAGAGCAACACATCTGGCCTCTAATTCCTGCTTTTCTCAATTGGCATATTCAGTATAATCTGTCAACTCCTGCTAACTGTCCTGTAAGAGATGCGGGAAATTGTGACTAGGTCTACATCTCAACAGCTTTAATATGCCTCTTCACGGCACTGATTGAATTGATCAAAGACTTGAATTAAAACTTGTCATGTGGCTAGTTTACAGCCTTTTTAAAATCCAAAGGAGTTGTTTCCTCAAGTGGCTGAAACCCTATAAACAAAAGGGAAAGAAAAAGGAAATAAAAGGGGAATTATACAATCACCATAAGAAGCTTCTGTCACTAAATTGAGTAACAACTTCACTATATGTAGTTTACCATTAAGCAGCAGAAATTTACTAGTGATGAATAAGTGAGAAGGGGTCTCTGACAGGCTCCCACTCGATCACACCCATTGATTTACTTGATGTATGGTGGAAAACTTGAAAATGATATCAAAAGGTGTGCAACAAGTCATTTTAATTCTCATTGTTTAAGTTGAAAAGCAAAGAAAAGAGGGTACAATATACAACTTAGGAGTAATTTCTTGTGGCCTGTTTAATATTTGCAACATATTTCCATATATTTCGAGTAAAATCTTGGAGCATTGTGCTATGCGGTTGTTGGTGTACAAGTTTAAATACTTGGTTCAACTACACCTGAAGGTGAGGCTGGAAAAAATATGAGTTGAAAACAAAGGTCTAACTGCCATTTGAGGAAAAAGCCTGTCTCCATGTTATAATGGGAAGTTGGCAAGAATGTCCTCCAAAGTTCTTATAATGCCTAAACAAAGTTCCATCCATAAGCCTGCCTCCACTTTTTTGCCCCTTAACTGGACATGAAACATGGGCATTTGAACAGAAGATTGACCTGTGATTGGTAAACTCTGCTACTCCTTGTGGAGTGGGGCGTTGCACATTATCCCTGAGGTAATAGGATATCAGATTTTGAAAAGAAATAGGGAAAATGAAAAAGTAAAGTGTTTTTGTCTACTATTAGATGCTACAAGAAATTTGTATTTCTGATCCACATTGCAATATTTACCTGTCAAAACTTTCTCATTTCTCTTCCATGTTTGTGCTTTCTGTCCTCTTGCTCCCATGTTCTCTTTATAGATTTTGATGTCTTGCCTTTAGCTATCAAAGAATTGAGCTTCTCCTGAGGTTTTGTTTAACTTTGTAAACAGGTGGCACCCCTTGAAATACACAGAGAAAACCTGCTGGAAGTTGAAGAGCAACTTCGCTTTCTTATTCATGTTATAGAAGGAAGAGAAAGTACTTATTTTCTTTCACTACTCAATGGGTCTATATCATCTTGGATATGGAATTGCTTGGGAATATCGGTAGGTTAATGGATCTATCATTATTTATTTGAAAATCTACTATATGCTTAGATAGTGTCATTTTGGGAGTTTGGAGGTCGGGAAGAAGGGAACAGCAATGGGGCATAAACTCTAATCACTCAACTTAGCCATCCTGCATCTATTACGTTGATCTTCTTGGTGATATCATCTTGAATGCTGTTATGTTTGCAATCCTTGTACAGCCAGATTCCCTATTTCCAAGTGTGAGATGCGGCTTGGAGATGGCTATACTCAATGCTATTGCAGCCAGCAAATCTTCCAGTTTAATAGACATATTCCATCCAAGGACAGGAGAATTACATACAAAGGGGACAGCTGTGAAGATATGTGGCCTCATTGATTCCATTGGAGGTCCCACAGATATGGCTTCTGCTGCATCTGCCCTTGTTGAAGAGGGTTTTGCTGCTATAAAAATAAAGGTGAATACTTTTAGTCCAAAATTTTGCCGGTCAATTTTTATTTTCTGAGATTGTTATAGGATACTATCAAATAGCTAGGTTTGGTAGAACAAACTTTATCAATTCTTCCACTTATAGGTGGCACGTAGGAGCAACCCCATCGAGGATGCCATGGTTATACAAGAGGTTAGAAGAAAAGTGGGGAATCATGTTGAAATCCGTGTTGATGCCAACAGAGGTTGGACATTTTCTGAAGCAGCAGAGTTTGCTAATTTGGTGAAAAACTGCAACCTACAGTATATTGAGGTATTACTCTGTGGAAATCATATTGAGATCTGATTATCTATTTTTGCTCCTAGATCTTTACTTTCAAGAAATGGATTATGATGAATTTTAAATTCGGTACCCTTCTGTTGTTTTTTTATTCTTTTATTTTCTTTACTGTTTTTTATGTTAGACTTTCTTCAATTTCATAAATTGCTCATTAAGACCTAGCTCTGCCAATTTTTCTATCCCTCTTTGTGCATGTCTTGCATTTGACTTTATTGAAGTTCTCCATTTTTTCTATGTGAAAGGTTTTCATGATATTTTATCTTGAATGTTTTTTAGTTGTAAGTTAACTGTCTTCTGCAATTTCTAATATCAGGAACCTGTTAAGGATGAAGATGATATTGTCAAATTTTGTGAAGAAACTAACTTACCTGTGGCTCTTGATGAGACCGTGAACAATACAAGAGCAAATCCCCTGGAGGTCATAAACAATTACACGCACTCTGGAATTGTTGCGGTGGTAAGTATCCATGCTTCCTTGATACTAACTTTCTCAGGGTTTAGTTATGTGATAAAAAATTTTACATCATGGATTCTTGTGCCAAACAAGAACGGTATTCTGTAGCTGTAATTGCTTAGCAAGGTTTGGTGGCCCATCAATGTTGCTTTGCTGGTGCATACAATTTTGTATTTTAATCTGATCAGTATAAGTATAAGAAATCTCTCCACTCTCATTCAAGGGAAGGTCTATACAACATTTTGTTTGTGCTTTGCTACTCCCTAGAACAGTTCTGCAAAATCTGCTTCTAGCATTCATTGGAGATTATCATAGGCATTATAAAATTTCGGGACAATAATGATGAGCAGAATTTGGCTCTTCCATTGATTTTTATTTCATATATTATGTTAACATGGTCAATTCTCTCATATTAGACAGAATTTTTTGCCTCAAGGGACCTAACTTTGGTTTGCTACAATTAACCTGTCAGGTTATTAAACCAAGCATGCTTGGGGGTTTTGAGAATGCAGCATTGGTTGCTCAATGGGCTCAGAAGCAAGGGAAGATGGCGATTGTTAGTGCTACATTTGAGAGTGGCTTGGGACTGTCAGCCTATACTCAGTTCTCAAGTTATCTCAATCTGCAAAATGCTGAAATACGTAGGTTGATGAAAAAGGAACGATCACTATGCTTAGCTCATGGTCTGGGGACCTACAAATGGCTTAAAGAAGATTTGAGTGTAAAGCCTGCAGAGGTCCATTTCAATTCAAACAATGGATTTGTAGGGGCCTCTGTTGTTGATACTGCTCAATTCCTGCAGAGGTTTCAAGTCAACCAAAATGTCATTGTTCGAACTTTTGATGAAGAACAAGTTCGTAACTACCAGCTACCTGTTGATTTTGAGGGTGTCTCCTATTCCATCAATGTGCTAGAGACGGGAAAAAGAGTTGGAGTAAGTGTAGAATCTTGTATATGTATTATATTTCGTAATTTTTGTCATGAGATACTAGTATGTAGATGACACGCACCTTTAAAAGCCAGTCATACACTAATAGGAATTGCAATGAAGGAAGAGATGCCATCAGGGGAGGGTTGATGCGGGAGGGAAGGTGGCTGATGGAGGAGCCTATGAACAGTACACTAATTGCTGATTAAAAAAACTATTCACATACAAATCATAATGTGTATACAGCCAATGGAAGGAGCCTTTGGGCAAAAACACAGAGTTTGAAATATAGCAAGAGCATGGACATCACGAGTCTGATAAACTTAAAATATTAATTATACATGGCATCTTCAATTTTTTACTAGAAAGAATTTTGCACTATTCATGAGTTTCATTGATCATCCATTTCTACCTGTTGTACTCTGAAATCCCCCATGCTAATCTTTCTCTGTTCCAGGAGAAGAGAGAAAACTTTATTGATATAAAGAGTACTGCCGCAAACTAGAAAACTATGAGAATCAATTACCCATTCCTCTGCACGTTGTCAATAAGATACTTGTCAAAATTAACGTACTTTGAACCAAATAGGAATGTGAATTTAGCGTTGAGGCGTACTATTATTCATCTATTACCTGGAGAGCCTAATTTTCACCGCAATATTGCAATCCTTTTTCCTTGTTCCTTTTCCAAACTGCAGGACTATGTATTCGTCTTTCTTCATGGCTTTCTTGGAAGGGGTGAAGATTGGATACCCATCATGAAAGCCTTCTCAAGATCAGTAAGATGCATAGCAATTGACCTTCCAGGTCATGCCAGATCTGACGTGAAATATCAGGCTGATAATGGTTCCATGAAGCGGCACAGTTTGTCAGTTGATGCTATTGCTGGAATGTTATGCAAGTTTATTACTAATGTGACCTCTGAAAAGGTTATTCTTGTTGGGTACTCAATGGGAGCAAGGATCGCCTTACACATGGCTTTAAAATATGATGATAAGGTATATAAGAAGATGTGCTACTGATCTGAATTAAATTCATTTTCGACATGAATCATTTTTTGAAATATGATCTGTCTTGGAAGATTGATGGAGCTGTTATAATCTCCGGAAGCCCTGGATTGACAGATCCTGGGGCAAGGAAGTTCCGTCGAGCAAAAGATGATTTCAGAGCCAGCTCCCTTGTTTCTCACGGCCTAGAGCACTTTTTAGGTGCCTGGTATGTTGAGGAGATATGGAATAGGTAATTGATCCTTCCTTTATAACCCTCTTTGGCTTGGACTTTATTTAATTATCCTTTAAACATTCCTAGAGCAGTCACCTTAGTAACAGATTACCAACCATGCAGCTTAAGGAGCCATCCACATTTCAGTGAAATAGTCACTGATCGCTTGCAGCATGATGATTTGCACACCCTTGCTAAAGTACTGTCTGATTCAAGTATTGGGAGACAACAGTAAGTCTGGATATTCTTCTCTTCATACATTTTAAGTCCCTTACATCTCCTTTTGCAGTTTGACTATGGCTTCAAAGATAATTATTGAATTAGGTAATCATTTCAAACTTTATGATGACCTCAGATGAAGGGCATAATACTAGTCCAATTACTTCAACAGATATTTCCTACTGACAACATACTAGTTAATTTGAGTTAAAACAAATTCTGTTTGTTCATCTTTAAGGAACCCAAGGTTCTGAGGTGTTTCTGGGGGCATAGTCCTTGTTTGGCAGAGTTTCTCTTTATATCAGCATATTATTCCCCATTCCCTGCTCTTTATGCTTATCCTTTTACCCTTATGTTGGGTAGGAAATCATGAGAAGAACTTAGAGGCCTAGCTCAATGCAACATGAAGGGAAAATAAGGTAGACCATAGACATAAAAAAAAAAAAAATTCCTTCATCAGAAATCATTTACCAACTTGGTAATGAGAACTAAGATCATAAACCTGGAGCTTTGCTTCTTTAATCAACAAATACTACCTTAGACTCTGCTATGATCAGTTGGCATGCGTCTCCTGTATATTTCTTCAATTTCATCCGGAGCCTAATTCTTGTGTCTCCTTCGGGTCAATTGCTATCTTATCCCTTGGTATTTATGATAGACCATTGTGGGAAGACCTGAAGCAGTGCAACCTACCACTTCTACTCATTGTTGGAGAGGATGATGCCAAGTTTAAACAAATTGCCAAAAGGATGCTCCATAAAATCAGCCATAGCACCAGGATGAAGGCTACTCCAGCAATAGTCGAAGTTCCAAAATCTGGCCACGCTGCACATCTTGAGAATCCTCTTCATGTAATATATTCTTTAAGGCAGTTCTTGAACAGAGTCAAAACCTTGAGTTCACTTCAAACGCAAAATGCAGTGGTAGATAGTCATCGTGACATTCCCCGTCAGGTTTCAAAGACAATGTAAAAACACGATAACTTGGTTCAATTCTTGGCTTCATCTTCCGAAACCCCATCTACACAAGTCTGTGGTCAATGTAGATCCTACAAGTCATGGAATGCAAGATTACTCTCTGCAGATGTTCAACGCTCTCAAATGTATGTAGTGAAATCCCCGGTGTAACATAATAATTGCTGCCCCATAGTCTGCTTCTGTTTCATTACCTGAAATACAATATTCAGCTCGCAGCCAGTCTTGCTCTCCTCAGAATTTCCCAATGATCCCTCTGTTTGTTTGCTTGGTACTCTTCAGTAATTATATCCCGAGGGAGACACCTAAAGACAGTATATTTGGTAATAATTTACCTGGAACGTACTCCATTCTGCTTTACTCTTACTTTTTGTTCTGCTCCTACACCTTCAAATACTTGCTGATAAAATCCCAAGGACTTCAGATCATTGAGTTCTTCTGCATAGAAAATGATGTCTGAATAGGCCATCTGCCTTGAAAAGTACCGAGTTGCATTTGAATACTGAATAAAGAAAAGCACAAAGATGAAGATTTATGGGTCCCTGTACAACCCCAGCTAGCTGATTCCTTGTGCAACCACCATTAACTCTTACTACCATTTCAATGGTGCTATTTCAATGAAACTCTTTGGTTTTTGCGTGAAAATTGTATCAAGTCGTTCTACTTCCATCTCTTGTTTCTTTCATCTTTTGCTGCCATCTTTTGTGCGAGTGAGATGAGGCACAAGTTTGAGGAGCTGTCAAACCTCATTAAAGGTCGACAGAGCAGAGCAAGAATTACATCATAATAGCTTCTATAGAACTTGAACTAGCTGCCCAACTGTGGCTGCATAATCCTATATAGCACGTCTAGCTCAAAAAGCTGAACAAATGTGAGTTAATTTGCTACTAATCCAAAGCCTAATTGTTGTCTAGTTTTGCTTAAAAATCTCCATCATCGAGACTTGTTTTTCTTTCCACAATGGTTGCGTGGAAGGACATGAACCTTATTTATGATTTGACATGATTTATGGGATTGGACCACTCTAATTAACATGGACATTACTTTATAATACACGCGCACTAACCCGTTGGAATTTTACTCCTCCTAACGTAATTATGTGATTATCTTGCCCATTCTTAACTCTAGATCCATTACAAACTTATAAAACCAGGAGTGTTTTGTACGAGACCTAAGCATAATAAAAGTGAAGTGGAGGCTACTAAACGCAATAGGAAAAGAAAAAAATCAAAGTAAAACTTGTGTTTGGTAAGAAAGAATATCCCAGATTTCACTGTCAGAAAGGCCACTTTTCAACATACAGCCACTTAATTAATGTCACAAATCCAGTTGGTAGATTAAACTCATAGTAGTATTAGCTGACTTTTGACTAATCTCTATATTATGGGGAAATAAAGAAGTCTTGAAACCATCATTTTGATTGGGCAAAGTTGTCGAATCTATTCAACGTTATTAATTAAATCCATCAGTTTGATTACGCAAAGTACATTCACAGTTTGTCCAATCTACACCTGGCCTCCTGTACGCAATTTTTATTAATCATCTATTAATTTCCCAAAAAAAAATGTAATCATCTAATTAGTCAACAAGATTGAATGGAGACTTTTAAGGGGTGTTTGTGTGTGTTTTTGGTTTGTCTTTTCTAATGTTGCATTGCGGATGTTATTAGGCTTATATTTGTTCTCAATTCTTTCGACTGTGGTTCTTTCTAGGCATGATCAATGTCACTCAACAGGATGATTGGTTCCTCTTGCCCAAAATCAGAACAAGGATGGCTGATTTCTTGATGTAAAATATATTAAAGAAAAGTTATACATGTATTTTTGGCATTTTTCATGCTCCCAAACCTCCTTGAGTCATACATGTATCCTCATCCTCTAACATGATGATAATTAACTAAAACCGCAGCTGATTAAGACGCCATGGAAACTTAATTGTAAGTGGGCATTCAAACTCTTATTTCACTTTTTGTTGCTTGAAGATCCATGCATGGTCAAATTCTATGTTTGCTTCTAAAGCAAACAACCATTCATATTCATATGCTGCTTATTACCCCAAAAAAAAAAATTTTTTTGATGAAAGTTAATCGTTAAAATTGTTTTTTCTTTCCCTATTTTGGGAGGGTTGGACAATGATTTGCAAATTTGGACCAAGAAGTAAAGGATTTTGCTTTTCTAGCTTTCTGTAGGCTTGACTGGACTGATCAGACTGATCCAGGTCAAAAATGGAGAAACGTTTAGAGCAGCATGTTGCATCCTATTAAGCTTCAGGAATTTTAGTTGATTATGGCCCTTCACGTATTTCCTTTAACGACACTTCCCGAACTATTTCGTTCTTTAAATCCAGATCAATTAATGCAGTTTGTTTTCGAGCAATCATGGGAATCGAGCTCGAATTTATAGATTGTATAAAACTAATCTTGAATCCATATATACGCAGTAAATATCAAGAAACCAAAAGGTTACCTAGTTGCTCGTGTAACCAGAAATCTAGGGGCAAATGAACAGGAATTATTAATAAGTTAAGGTTGTTCTGTTACTATGAATAAAATAAGTTAAACTTAAATAAATCGGATGCAGAAAAATAAGATTCAGATAAAAAAATAATCTTTAATTAATAGATGGTTGATTGTCAACTTGAAGAAGAGGGATGGAGGGGCGGCTCAAGCCTTCATTTCATGCCGTTTCCTTCAAAGTAATCATCTATTTATGAACCTATTGCCGCCATTTCAAACCATAACAGAATCTACCAAACTTGTTCAGCATCTGAAGGCTGCTGTCAGGGTGGGAACTTGAGAGATGGACCAAAACATGAACATGATCGTTACCAGAAGAATGGCCTCTGTAGCCAACCATCTCATGCCTGGTCACCAAATTAGTCCTAGCCACCCTGCCTTGTTTGGTGCTATAGCTCCGTCTAATTGCAGTTCTCCACTGGATGACAGCTACCGCAGGACTCACGGTGAAGTCCCTAGCCATCCACCAGTTTGGAAAACTGTGTCCTTGGATGAATCTGTCAAGGAGTTTGCGGATATTATATACGAAAAAGCTGTTGGAGAGGGTATTGCTAAGGTTAGTAGCGGAACTTTCACTTAATTTTTCACGTATTGCAGCCAGGTAGAAATATCCTGGCTGCACATATGCTCGAAGGAGCTAGAAATATGCTCAACATCCCTGTTATTAATCTTTTGAGACAATGATAACTCCATATGAAATTGCTAACAAAATTTATCGTATTGGCACAAAGAATTGTTTTTCGAGAATGGATGATATGAGATAAAATTTTCTTTCATGCCAAGTGCAAATATTTCTCGTCATCAGTTACTGTGGAGTATAATTTGCAGTTTAATTTCTCTGAGGGAGCTACACTTGGGGATCTGTTTTGATTCTTTCTTTTCTCTTGTCTTTCTGCATAGATAACAATCAACCGACCAGAGAGAAGAAATGCTTTCAGACCTCAGACGGTCAAGGAACTCATGCGGGCATTTAATGATGCTAGGGATGATATTTCTGTAGGAGTGATCATCTTCACTGGGAAGGTGATACTACTCTCATGAACAACATATTTTGCATGAATTTATCTGCGATTTTCATAAAAACGTGGTAGAGATATTTATTCAGGCCTACCTATTAATTTGACATGCGAAACGGGCTACCTTGATCATATTCTGTTGTAGGGCACTGAGGCATTTTGCAGTGGTGGTGATCAATCCTTTAGAGGAAAAAATGGCTATGCAGATTATGACAATTTTGGTCGGCTCAATGTTTTGGATTTACAGGTAAATATTTGAAAAGATGGTATAGCTCTGCATTTTCAATTTGTTACTTGACCATTTGGCATTGACTAGGTAATCCCAGTTATACGACATAATCTGAAAAGAACTTGTGAGAAAGGCACTGCCCTGTTAGACTGCAGTATGCAACTTACCAGTAATTTCTCTGCCTGACTGCAACAATTTTTTTTTTTATACAGGTCCAGATTAGACGTCTGCCAAAACCAGTGATTGCAATGGTAAGCTTTGCAAAACAATTTCTCCAAATTTCAACAGCACTGCAAAATTCATAGTTTCATAGCTCTTTTCTTGAATATTTATGGTTCTCTTCTAAAAACAGGTTGCTGGTTATGCTGTTGGGGGAGGACACGTGCTGCATATGGTCTGTGATCTAACAATTGCAGCCAATAATGCTGTTTTTGGTCAGACGGGTCCAAAGGTGCCTTTTCATGTTCCATCTTTGTGACCTGTACATTGAACTGTTGAAGCTCATTACTTCTTGTCTATGCAAGTTCTTCCTTTCAGGTTTTATCTCCTTCAAGTTAGTAGGGATCATTTAATTCTTGAATACAAATTGCAGGTTGGAAGCTTTGACGCTGGTTATGGAGCCTCCATAATGTCTCGCTTGGTAAATTTTTCAAGCTCAATGCATCTCTTTATCCGTAGAAACCTACAAAGTTTTCGAGTTAAAAAATCGCTTGCGGGAAAATCTAGCCAAAGATTTGCATGATTTTGCTAGCAACATCTAACTAATACATACACTAATTAACTTAAATTGTACGCTATACATTAGATTGGCCCAAAACGAGCGCGTGAAATGTGGTATCTGTCAAAGTTCTACACAGCTTCAGAAGCAGAGAAAATGGGGCTTGTAAACATGGTCGTCCCAGTAAGTTCCTTTTCAGCCCATCAACTTTTTCATCCTTTAGATTTCCATTCATACTCAGATGGCCATCCTATTTCTGGCTTCTATATCCCTGAACTATTTGAATCACATTTTCTAGCTGGAGAAGTTGGAACAAGAAACAGTCAAATGGTGCAGAGAGATGCTAAGAAACAGTCCAACTGCTATTCGGTTATGCAAATCAGCCATCAATGCAGCTGATGATGGCCATGCTGGACTTCAGGTATTCACAGCTCAGGCAATTCTTGCAACCAAAAGCCAAATTTCCATTAAAATCCTATAACACACTCTAACAACAGTGCTTCATACATTTTGGACATTGACTATCTGCTTCATATTTGTCATTCAGGCACTTGCAGGAGATGCAACACTCATGTTTTATGGAACTGAGGAAGGCAATGAGGGGAGGTCGTCATATTTGCAGCACAAAAAACCGGATTTCTCGAAATTTCCTAGGCTTCCTTGATGTTGTGCACCTCTAGCACAGTTCTTTTTTACTGTGATTTACGGCATTTTGATTTGTCTGCCTTGTTACAAGGTTCACATTTTCGTATTTCAAACTGTTCAACGTGCATGTTATCACTCCGTCTGCTGGCTGCAGAAATTTAGTGGCTTTCCATGTTCTCATGGACAGAATAAAAATCATTTTGTAGTTGAGAGTAAAATAAAGCTGATGTTCCTACTCGTATTGAAATGTGAAGGAATGGACAGTCCATGTGATATATACTTCCAACTTTCAATGACTATAATACTGTTGGGATATGCAACTTTTCCTACATATTTTGCTAGATTATGTTTAATATCAAAATAATTTAGTTATTAGAAAAATAAGGATATTTGTTAACCAAAGATCATGTTGGTTTGTTAACAGATATTTTAGATAAGATTTGCTAGTAGAAGGAGATTATATTTTGTTGAGATTTTTAGGATAATTGTTAGTTGGATATTTTGCTAGTTTGTTTCATGTAATCACTATAAATAGTGAGTTAATGAATGTAGAACATAAGCTCATTTTCCACCTTCAATACAAGTCTCTTATAAGCTTTTTTTGCAACACTAAGGTGTTGTTTCTTAGTTCATGCCCCAAAAAACCAACAAAGTGGTATCAAGAGCCTATATCTCAAGAGTCTGAGTTTTGTTTTTTAGAGTGAGTGCATTGGTGAGGATCCTTTATAAGTTCAAAGCCATGACAGGAAAGAACTTTTTGTCAAATATTTCAACTTTTAGTGGTGAAACTTACCAAATTTGGGCCATAAAATTTTGGACTTATTTGGTAGTCAATGATCTACGGGATATGGTGAAGACGAATTTTGTTTCATCAGCATTTGAAGAGCTGATGGATACACAAATTAGAGACCACAGAGTTGCAGTTAGACAGAGATCCAAGGCCAGCATTCACATATCAGTTTTTGATGCCGTTTTCACAAAGAAAATGGCTGATGATTTGATTGAGAATAAATTATTCTCAATTAAAATAGAAAGGAGAAGTTTCACTATGAATTGGTCAGATTTTGACAATTCTAAAGTGGAACATGATGATGAAATCAAGAATTCAGATCCTGAAAAAATTCAGGAGGAGATCATTGATAAGTCAGGAGATATCAGATTGATTCCTGATATTTATCAAGATTATAACATTTCTGTTTTTGGGTCTACAGATTTTGATGGTGATGACAAAATGAAGAATCATGCAAAATTTCATATTTTCTATATAAGTTCAAACATCGTCAAAAGATGTTCCATTTTAAACCTATGAGAAGGTTATTTGGAAATATTAAAAAAAAAATCATCTTTTATGTGGAGTTTGGCATGAGAAGACAAAAGAAGTGGTTCGTTGCAAGACTAATATTTAGCTTGCATAAAAACCCAAAGGAAGAAGTTCATTGCAAGGCTAATCATCAATTGCAGAATTTCTTACAACAGTCTCGTCCAAAACAAGATTCAAAGATTTGAGAAAACAATTGAAAATCTGCAGCAAAAGTGACAAGGAGGAGTGTTGGGATATGCAACTTTTCCTACATATTTTGCTAGATTATGTTTAATATCAAAATAATTTAGTTATTAGAAAAATAAGGATATTTGTTAACCAAAGATCATGTTGGTTTGTTAACAGATATTTTAGATAAGATTTGCTAGTAGAAGGAGATTATATTTTGTTGAGATTTTTAGGATAATTGTTAGTTGGATATTTTGCTAGTTTGTTTCATGTAATCACTATAAATAGTGAGTTAATGAATGTAGAACATAAGCTCATTTTCCACCTTCAATACAAGTCTCTTATAAGTTTTTTTTGCAACACTAAGGTGTTGTTTCTTAGTTCATGCCCCAAAAAACCAACAAATACACAGGACTGGAATAAGCAAACTGGCATGCAGGATAATTAGAGGTCCTAATAAAAAGAAAGAGCATATTAACATTTTCACCAAAATTAAAAAAAAAAAAAAAAAAAAAAAAAAAAAAAAAAAAAAGACATAGACTCCTCTCCTTGCAATGTCTCCATCTGGGCTTTTAGTAACATCAACCTCCTAAAGCACACACAAACTCCAGGGTTAGGCTTTTGATAAAGCATACACAGCTCATTTACATTCACTGCAGGCTGTTAATTAGCACGGTATCTGCTTTACCCCTATTATTTTCCTCATTAACTTGAAAGTTTCAAAAAATGTCTTTTATAAATTCTAATCTTTGTCCCCGCAAAAACTTCAACTTTTACGTTGACTTCAAATTTATACAAGAAATCTAAATCATCGACAGACAGGTGGTAGGCTATATTGCTTATACTTTTTTTTTTTTCAAGTCGTTCGGGTATTGCTTATGCTTCTCAGGAAGTAAATACGTACGTATGTAATATTGATGAGTTGTTTGGTTAGGAGAAAACTACATATATTTGCCCAAGTAACCAAATCTTCGTCTAGGGTATTTATATATGATTAGTTGACGGAATCTTAAAAAAAAAAAAAAAAAACCACGCATTAGCAGGTGTAATGATAATCTAGAGGTGCTGGAGGGAGGTCGTTTGCGCCTGATGCATCTTCTCCAAAAAGAAATACTTGCTTACTTTTCTCAGTTGAAACTCTGTTTTCTCATCATATAACCCAACTCGGACATCAGAAAGACACCATTCGCTGTTGGACCAAGAAATCTAACGAACCCTCAGTTTGCTGCATACATTATTAAAATGATAACTTTGGAAATTTTGTAACTTTTGTCATTTTTCTTACTTTGTCATTTCACTTTTGATTTAGGTTTTGTTGTCTGTACTCTGTACTTTTCGATCAAAATTTTCTACTCTTAGAAAGTCTGTTCATCACTCTGAAATATCTTGAACAAACGTTATATATTGAGCATTTAGCTTGAGATTATAAATTGATGAACAGCCTGATAAGTTGATGGGTTGAAGTACAATGATATGAACTGGTTTTGCACAACATATTTTACTTTCTTTGAAAATTATTACGGTGTATCATCTAGCTAATTGATTTGCATTGGGAAAACATGGCCATCTGCAGATCCACCCATTGTAGAATTTTTGATAAATTCATTTTCTCTGTCTTTATCTTAATAAAAGACTTAAAAACTTGATTACTTGTTCTGAAGAATCTCTTTCTTTTCTTTTCTTTTGTCTTTTTTGGTTTGCGTGGGGGTATATTTGATCCATCCAAAAGCTGTCTCGATCGATTGAAAGCTACCGGGTTTAAACAATATAACCTGAGCAGCTAATCGTACTACTTCTTGGACAAAATAAATTATAGCATTCATCGGCCTTATTATTATTTTTTTTATGAATGCTTAATTGTTTAATGGTGTTTTTTATGATCAACGATCTAACATTCAACTTTGTTTCCCTCTCTTTCTGCTGAAACCATCAAGAAACCTGCCAAAAACATACACCTTGTTCGGCCAAATGTTCATTGAAAGGTGTTAGAGAAAAACCCTAAATACTAGCATAGTTTTCTAGCTTTTATGACTAACAAATGGGATTTACGAATGAGTATAAGATCATGGATGGGACCAATACCAGTAGCCATGATCAAGAGAGCAACCACGAAGATTAGTTGAAAGCAAGAGCCTTTTTTTCATCATTTTCATCTTTTTAGTTTGTACGATAGTGGAAGCAGGTACAGCTAGTTAATATCTTTCACTTGGAGTGGTGAAGACACTAAACATGTCCTGATATTTACATACATGGAGACGAGACGGTGTGCTATTTATTACTCGTTAATGAATTATTGACTCTAGTAACGTCTTGGAGTACTTGACAAAGGAAAGTGGTAAAATTATGTAGAGGTACATATATCTGCCTAAGAATATCTCTAGGATGGTTCCAACTTGTAATTAGTGTGGATTTATGGACGCAATGGCTCGATTTACTAATTGACTGCTTTAAACTTGGCAGGCAATTCTAAGTTAGGATTCTCGGCAGATACTGAAAAATTTCAATGACAATCCCACTTAATTATCACCTGAAAGTAAAAGAAACTTGAGTTAAATCAAATCAATTTGAATTATTAAAAAATTAAAGAGCACGTGATAACTTAAATAAATAGAACGCTTAACATAAATATAAAAGTGACACTGAGTTACTTTTGCTACTAAAGAGTGGTTCCCATGTCTTGACACCTAATGGTTGCATTGAATCTTACTTGTGCACATATTTACTTCTATTCATCAAGAACCAAAAAAAAAAAAAAAAAAAAAAAAAAAAGGCAAAAATTCCTTTCTGACTATTATTATCATAAGGCATCTTCTAGATAAAAGTTTCTCAACAATGTCGTCTTCTCATGGCGATGAATTTTTAGTTTCCTTTGTACCCGCTTGAAGTTTTAGTTCCCACGCCTTGGCAAAATCCATTTACACATTTGATATTTTCTGGACAGTGTATATGTTTTCCAAGACAATCTCTGTCAGATTTACACTTAAATTTTTTCCTCCGCCTTCGAGTCTGCACGTACCATCAAGAAACCCGCAGCCAAAACAATTACTATAAAGTTTTTGTTGAAAGGTGTCGAACAGAAAAAACCTTCTTGATATGCAATTTTCAGGCATTTTATAATTTGCTGATAGGATCTAGGAAATAATTAAGTACAAGCCTAAATATAATTAAAAAAAGTACAAGCCAATGCAAAATATATAAGATCAGGAATTAGAGCATTAGTAGTAGGCATGATCAAGAGAGCAAGCACGAAATTCAATTGAAACCATGAAGCCTTTTTCCATCGTTTTCAGCTAAATTAGGCAATTAGAATCACAGTACAAGTTTTACGGTTTGCTGCTTGAGTGATCACATTAAGCATTTCCTGTGACTTATATAGAGATAAGAGAATTCGATTTGGTTATGAATGTTAACTTCACATCAGAGCATCAACTTAGGAATTCAAAAGACTGATTAAAAAAGTGTCAAAAGACTTCAAATCAGGAATTCAATCGACGTCTTCATTCACTCGATCAAAACAGTCCTTTGAGAGGTTCCCATCCGAGATTTTTCCCGAATTGGCAACCAAGAAGTGTAGCAGAGACAGAATTTGCGTGTCCCACATGCTACTGGTAAACAGTCAGCATTAACTTCACATCTTGGAAGATGAGAGGTTTTCCTTCTGCTCTAATCACCTCATTTGATAGTCTTGCCCATTATATTAAGTTTATGCACTACAAGTCTACAACAATTACATAATATTACACATCTCCAGTAATCAGAAAGCTTTTGAAGAAAACACGATCATCG